CCTGCCTTTTCCTTTCTGATACTGTTGCATAGAATGGTGAATTTAAAAGCTTTTGCTCTTACGTTACATTTTGGCAATCTTTTCCAACTTGCATTTTAAGAAGTAGAGCAGATAGTGTCAGTAATATTCAGACAAAATATCTTGGACTGTTTACAATGTGTAAGTGAGATATACCAAACAGTTAAAGGAAAAGCTAGTCTTTTCAAACAAAACCATTTGAATTTCTAGGTATAAAGCAAGCTACCATCATGGATTTCTTATTTTATATGAGAGAAAACAAGATTTAATATTAATAGGGGTAAGAAAATTCACACCAAAGGAACATGTTATCTGAGATGATAGCCTCTGCCTTGAAACATGAGGTAACTGCAAACTGTCTAAGGCTGGGAATACATTTCCCAGTGTGGGGAAATTTTTTTACTTTTCTTCCTCAGCCAGAATCATAATGGGTATAACATGTCCTGTGTGGTAGCATATGTTGTAGGAAAGGTGTAAAGCAGTGGGGAAAAATGAGAGGAATCTTTAAGACTCAATAAGGGATATGGAGACTTGAAGAGGAGGGAAGGAGAATAAATAACTTTTACTAGCAAGAAATATTCAAACTTTTGGTTAGAGAAGTAAATATCTGTGTAGAGTATATATTGATTATAATTGTACACTTCAGTTGCTTTTTAAAACTTGATGCTCTCTATAAAATTATGCATCAACCTTGTTACACTAATGTAATTCTGTGTTTTGGAGTAAGGATCTAAGAAGGCTTCTTGGTGGCAAAAATATGTAACTGTCTCAAAATGTCCAGGCAGAGGATGGATTTCTACCAATGCATTCTAGACAAATGTTTGCAACTGTACATTTCAAACTTAAATTTTAGTAGGTTCAAGTGTTGTTTTAGACTATATAGTTCTTAAAATTAGCACTAAATAATATGGTTTTGTGCCCATAATTAAGAAGTTGAAGAGCAATTTGCTATTAAATTTGAAGACTACTTTAGCTTTCAGAAATTTGGGACACTGTTATTCTGAATTTGTGCCTTTCCAGGTCTAAGGAAACATCTTGTTCACAAGAAGGTAGCAAACAGAGTGTTCTCAAACCAGCCCCACTTACAAAGAGTCGAATGCAGAGGCCAAAACCAAATGTAGAAAGGGCAGCTGAAAGGCAAGAAGTACCACCAACAAAAAAAGATGTGGAAGATGAAAAAACTGAAGTTGGAGAAACAGTGAAGAGTTTGACATGTTGTGAAAGTGTAAGTGGTGCACTTCTAACTACAGATGTTAGTTTTATGGGTACATTATATTATTATCGTGGGCCCAGGTAGCTGTCTTATTGTAGCGATGGTCAAAGTACAAGCCATAGAATTCCTCTGTAGCTTGTAGCCATCTTGCATTTTAAAGGTGACCTGAAACTTGTTAGGATCTGAATTCAAGCTCTTGGAGGTTCTGTATTCCTATTGGAGCAGTAAGTTACATCCCAAGAATCTAAAATGCTGCAAGTTGCATTCCTTACATTTTCTGTAATAACAGCTATCAAATGGGAAATATAGAATCCAAACACCTGTCTTTGAGACATGAGACTGTAAGTTTAAATCTAAGTAAATATTAAACAGTTGGGATCTTAAATGGGTGCATTTTCCAAATACAAAGAAGAGCTTTTTCAAATCTTTTTATCAAATAAAAATTTCTTTTAGGATGCAACAGGCAATGAAGACATCCTGCTGCATTCTGAGATATCAGAAAAAGAAGCTACTACAGGGCCTGAGCAGGTGGTCTCAATGTATGTAAATCAGTGTTCCCAAAATAAACCCTTGGGATCTGAGAGATGTGAACAAGAAAAGGAATTGTCCTCCGTGGATGATTTGGAAGATGTTTCAAATTTTGATACAGGGTAAGTATAAATGGAGGAAAGGGAAAATGCAAAAGCATTGAATGTCTCTACATAGTTAACACATCAATTTTCAAATTCAACACTTACATTTAGCATAATAAAAAATGATTAAGGGTTTGGAACGAGTTCCATATAAAGAGAGAGTAAAAAGACTTGGACTTTTCAGCTTAGAAAAGAGGAGACTAATAGGGGATATGATAGAGGGCTATAAAACCATGCCTGGTATGGAAATAGTGAATAAGGAAAAGTTACTTATTCCCACAATTTAAGAACTAGGGCATCACCAAATGAAATCAATAGGCACCAGGTTTAAAACAAACAAAAATAAGTTTTTCTTCACTCAGCGCACAGTCAACCTGTGGAACTCCTTGCCAGAGGATACTGCGAAGACCAGGACTTTAACAGGGTTCTAAAAAGAACTAGGTAAATTTATGGAGGTTAGGTCCATCAATACTTATTAGTCAGAATGGGTAGGAATGGTGTCCCTAGCCTCTGTTTCTCTGGAAGTGGGAGACAAGGGAGGGATCACATGAGGATTACCTGTTGTGATCCCTTCCTCTGGGGCATCTGGTAATGACCATTGTCGCAGACAGGATACTGAGCTAGATGGACCTTTGGTCTGACCCAGTATGGCTGTTATGTTCTTATCAAACTAAAAATTAAACTGACTTGTAACTGAGCACATCTAACAGGCCATTTTAATGTTAGGTTTTTTTTTTAAAGTAAACCTTTAGCAGTAAGATTTTCGGACAAGATGGTAATAATTAGGTCTCCTTTTTTATGTTGTTTCTTTTTAAAGCCCCAAATAATTCATTGAATAGGTCTATTTAAAGTGTAAATGCTATCAAATGATCTTTTTAATTGTGAGTCCAATTTTCAAACTGAAAATATTTTTATAGAATATTTGCAGTTGTGCACTTCACAATAGTTCTTACATATGATATTTAAGTACAGGCAGTCCCCGGGTTACGTACAAGATAGGGACTGTAGGTTTGTTCTTAAGTTGAATTTGTATGTAAGTCGGAACTGGTACATATTGTAGGGGAAACTCTAGCCAAACATTTCTCCAGAGCTCAGTTTTATTCTCCCACACCTCACTTCCCTCAGTCCTTTATTCTCAAGCTGAGGTGTCTGCTGAGAAAAGCCACTCCGCGTCTCCCTGGTCTGCTGGGGGTGGGGGGGGCACTAGCTTCGCGTCTCCCTGGTCTGTTGCCTCACCCCGTTTGTAAGTAGGGATCCAGTGTAAGTCGGATCCATGTAACCTGGGGACTGCCTGTACTCACTTGAATTTATAAATATGGAATTTTGACTTATTGAAAAAAGAAAGTGCCATGTGTTGAAAATGTTAGTGAATGACACATTCCTCATGAAATACGACTCTGGGCTGTAGTTATCCAGAAGCTGCTGCTTTTACGAAGACATCTCTTTGCTTGTCTACCCATTATTTTATAGATTTGTGGCATCTTGCTTTCTTATATTCCTATTAATCTTTTTTCAACAGCCTAAGTAACTGGAAGCTATGGATTTCATGCTTGGCTACCATATTGAAGAATAGCTGTTTTATAGAGGGTCATGTGTTAGTTTCAGTTGCACTGTTGAGTGCTGTACCATGTGTAGGGGCTAGCTTGCATGGTGGTCAGCTGTATTGCTGCTTTACATATGGTCTTTGTTTTAACAGAGACTCCAGCTCTCAACAAGATGAAAATGTTGTTATTCAGACAGCACCTCGATTGAGGAATCAGTTCCAGAGGCCAAAGACAAATTTAGGAAAGGAACTTGGAGGAAGAGAAGTGCCTGAAGTGGATAAAGATGTATCCGAGTACAACACTGAAAAAGATAATAGCTTGATACCGTGTGACAATAAATGCAGCATGCTTGCTGACCTAGATGTAAGGGTTTTTTTGTGTTTTTTGTTTTGTTTTGTTTTTTTAATTAGAGCTGAGCTTTTGGGGCTGTTTTTGAAAAGCTACAGTTATATACATTATTATAGATGCAACTGAGGAAAAATATTGGCAGAAATTTTACTTATGAGTTTATCCTTGTTGAACCAGGAAATCTGTAAAAGCTTAAAAATCCAATTTAATGTTGTATAAAAATGTACTGTAAAGTACAAGCCTACACTGATAGAATAATTCTCATAGTCTCTTATTTCCCGTCATTACTAGTCCAGGTGTCTGTCTTCATTCTCAGCCTGCTCAGATTGTCCACTCAGCTCAGAAACAAAAGTGATGTCATAAAATACCAAAAATATAATCCACAGTAATCTCCAGTTTGGTTTTAAAAGAGACATTGTTTTTCCCCTGAAATGCAGGACACTAATAATAAACTGTTGAGTTGGGCCCAGGCCATTTCTTGCTGACGGACATTTACATTTTTGTATGTCTCAACACTGGGCAAAAATTGGGGCTTTTCATTTGAAAATACTGGACAGCCATGGAAAAATTTAGAGAATGTTTAATAGTAATCAAAAAAACTACATCCTTTCTTAAATTATATTTTTCATTTGTGCTGCATAATACATTTGATACATTAGTTCAGGTGTTTATTCTCTTAACACGTCTTCTAGAAACCAGCAAAATGTGAAGTCCTGCCATCCTTGCAGCCACTAGAAAATGAAGACCCTGCAGGCTCTCAGGAAATACTTGCAACACCAACAAGCCTTCAGTCCCCTAAGAAGTTTTCAGAATCTGAGAGTGGTGAACAGAATGAGTGTCTCTTACCTTCAGATAACCAGGAAAAGACTTCAGCTGTTGCTGCTAGGTAAAGGCTCTGTTCCTTGTTTTATTTCCTGAAAATTATGAGGGAGTTAGAAAATGAAATCACTCTCTAAGTTTTCAACTGGCCAAGAAAAGTAGCTAGAAGTACCTCTTAGCATCTGCTTTATTTTTTTTAACGTAGTAAATGCAGATCTGTCTACTAATTGAATTATGTCACCCTAAATTTAAATTGAGCATATAATAACTTCAGGGTGGTAAATGTGATATTTTCAGTGGAAAGACTTGCCTCAATTTTCATAAAAATTAGATGTTATAAAAACTAGATCAGAGTTATGAACTTACCTGTCAACCACATACTTCATTTGGATCTGGAAATATATGATCATGCAGCAGACAAAAAAAAGAAAATACTGTACCGTACTGTGTTTAAATGTAAACTACTAAAAATAAAGGGGAATTTTTTAAAAAGAAAAAACTTTGGCAAAGTAAGAAAATAGTTTCTTTGCTTGTTTAATTTTAAATTGGTTAAAAGCAGCATTTTTATTCTGCATAGTAAAATTTCAAAGCTGCATTAATTTAATGTTCAGTTGAAAACTTTTGAAAGACCATCTGTAATGTTTTGTTCAGAGTTAGGAACATGTCAGACTTACAAATTCCCTCCGTTCCTGAGGTGTACTCTGAGATTCTACTCTATTTCAACTACAAACTCACTAATTTGCTTTTATATCTGGGACACCTCTTGGAAATTACTGCAAACATAATAGTGCCTCAGTTAACTTACTTCTGTAATGGATGCGGTGAGGTAATGAGGCCTCTCTAATGCTCTTCTACAAAATGTCTATAGAGGTGAGGAAAAATTGCAGTTTTTTTTGTTCAAATTACCATCAGCTATGGCATTTGTGTAAAAGTTAACAGCTGTATTGGGGAAAAACAGAACAAAGACTTTTTATTTACATAAGTGTAACTGGTCTAAGGATATTAGTATTTTTATGTCTCTGCATTACAGAAGATTTCAGATGCCATGTTGCCTTTTTTCAGGCTCCCTAGCAAACACATTTCTCAAGGAGAAAGTAAACCAACCTCTCTTCAGCCATCCCAACTAGTGAGGAGCCGATTCCAGAGGCCCAAGCCAAATATAGGAAGGGCCATTGGAAGGAAGGAAACACAGCCAACAAAAGAGGATGAAACTGAAAAAAAGACTGACGTTGATTGCTCAGTTCTGCAAAAAGCTGAATCTGCTGGCATCCCCACCACTGGAGTGAGTTGTAGAAATAAATATGAAAGAAAATGTCTTGAAGTTTTATAACTTCTCCAAGAAGTTTAGCAAACATATTGACTCTTAGAGAGTATAATATGGTAAAACCTTACCATGTGGAGCTATTGCAGACATTACAATAATGAAGTCTTTAAAATCTATGCTGAGTAAATACAAGCCTTATTGTGAAAAATGAAGACTATGGTTTTGGTTGAATTGCAATAGAAGGAAAAATTATGCATAATCAAGCAACTCCTGGTTGAGCTCATAACAGATACTTAAAAATAAGGGGTTTGCATCATCCATCCTGATTAAAAGAAGTCCATGTTGGGGAAACTAAGTGAGGGGGTCACAGAGGCAAGGAAGGAGCAACAGAAAACTTATCCGTTCTTATGTACAAAGCTACATTCCATTTTTAAAGCTCTTTGTGGTACAACATTACTTGCATAGAAGTGAGGCTAGGCATGCCAACTTTGCCAGTAGTGTGGGTGACTTTAGACAAGTCACTTAGCACCTTACTACCTTCATTTAAACATCTGTAAAGTAGAGTACATCTAGCTGCCTTTTGTTTACTAATCCTTATGTTTTGTAACTTGCAATGAAATCCTCTAAGTGCAAAAAATATGGCCAAAACTTTCACCCATGGGTGTCTATAGTTAAGCTCCCAATTCCCTGAAGGAGCCTAAATGTGTGGTGTTGCCTATCTATGGGCATTCTGATTTCAAAATTTTTCCTATGATTGTTATTTTTCTGCCTGCCCATTAATGGAATTGTGTTCTAATAGTTTTCATTTTTATATTTACAGAGAGCCTTAATTTCTGTGATATTTTTTTAATAAAATGCAATCCTATTTTAAAACATGGGGTATTTTAATACTTGATAGCAGTACAATGACCACTATTGATGGTAGTTATATTTTCAGTTAAAGGTTGAAAATGAAGCTGTATTCTCAGAAGCTTCTGGAGACAAGTTGTTGGGTTGTGAGAAACAGATACCAGATGTAGAATCTTCAGTGCCCAATATTTACCAAAATGTGTCAGTTGAACAAAGCAGGTAAGCTGAGTTTTAGGAAACAAGTTGGAAAACTTTTCATGCAAACATGTACTTACTGTATAAATGTGATACTTGTGCATGTAACAGTACCTTTCTTCCCCTTGTTTTCCATCTCTGTTTCTTTATTTCAGTGCTAGCTGCTAACATTTTCACTCTGTGGCTTTCTTCAGCTGTGCCCAGGTGATTGATATTGTTTCTCTGTACGGCTGTCTTTGAATATGTTTAAGTTTAAAGTTCTTTTCGTTCCAAATTTTGTCTTCCTAGGGATAGTTTTTTCCAGATGCATATATAAATGTCTAATTCATTAATACCTGCATTTTTTTCAGTTAAGATTTCAGTATTGTTAATGGCAACATCTTTGTTTCCTTTGATCAAATTTGTTCTTATGTTACCAGTCTAGATAAATGTGAGTGCTAAGTATGTATTTGGTTACAGGTTTCCCTTCTGGTATTAGTGTTGCTAGCAGTAGAAAATCTTAAATTCCTAATGACATAAATAACTAAAATAGTTAGATCTCTAAGAATTTTATGCCTCTTACAGAAAAACAGTACCTTCAAAAATATTTTTTTTCAAAACCTAGGAAATTCTACAAACTTTAACATTGCCAACACTAGTTGTTTAAAACAACTTCTTAGCCTCTGCCTCATTCACGGGGCTAGCACATTCTAATCTTAGAACCAGCAATCAGTGCATGTTGCTGTTCCTTTTGGGAATTCCAGAGAAAGTCACATTTTTCCAGCACCTACAGGCAAGAGGAAATTGTTGGCTTGACACATGCATCTTGATTTTGAGGAAGAATTGAAGGAAAGGGAGAAAAAGTAGTGATGGTGGAATGTGTGTGTGTCTGTGTGTATTCCATTTTTACCTCTTCTAGGATTTTTTAAAATAAATTTTAAAGTGAAAACCTAATCTTAGTACCTCTGAAATCAGTATAGCTCACTTTCCCTTATTGTTGATGCACCTGTATGTTAAAAATGAAGTAATATGGTGCCAATTAATATGAGGTGTTAGGGATTCTTAGATCCTGCCAAATTACAAGCAAAGGGGCTGGACTAACAAAATTTTGGAGTGCTTAGTTGTGGTGCTAATTGAATTTTTATTGGCAGTATTGCAACCTTTTCCATCATAGGGGCATTATGAATTAACATGAAGTATTGTTAACTCTATGCTTCAACGTCAAGTTACAATGACTTCCTACCCATAACCCTTAGAATCAAAAAAGGGTTTGCATATAAATGAGATACTCAGAAGTGCTGTGTCACAGGTTTTGTCAGGATTTAAATATTAAAATTCTGGAAATAAGGGATCTAGAAAGCCAGAATTTGTTGAGCCCCTTCACACTGCTGCTTTCTGCCTTGTGCTGTTTCCTAATTGTATGAATAAAGCTAGCATTGATGTATATAACACGTGGCAGAAAAATAATAGTAAGAAAAATCTTGACACAGGGCTTTGTCTATGTGTTACTTGTTCAGCATTACTCCTCAAATGCTGAAAACTAGGAACTATAAATACTAAGAACACATTTTCCTGTACCAAAAGGTACAGCATGAGAAAATTGTAACCCTTTTTGTATGTATTAATTTTTAAGGATGTGTTAGGTATATCTCCATATTATATTATCTCATAGAACTGGAAGGGACCTTGAGAGGTCATGGAGTTCAGTCACCTGCCCTCATAGCAGGACCAAGTACCATCCCTGACAGATTTGCCCCAGATCCCTAAATGGCCCCCTCAAGGATTGAATTCACAATCCTGGGTTTAGCAGGCCAATGCTCACCCCCCAAGCTATCCCTCCCCATTGTTAAGAGTGCACTAACATGTGCTGTAACATGTTTCATTAACTGTGGCTGTGTGACATTTTCTGTTTTTTAAAGAATCGGTGCTGAAAAATCCAGTTCCCAAGAAGCTAAGACATGTGTTATCAAACCAGCACAGCTAGTGAGGAGCCGGTTCCAGAGAGCTAGACCAAACCTGGGAAGGGCATATGGCAAGAAAGATAACCCAGTAGCAGAAAAACTTACTCCAGTTGAGAGAGAGACAGGCAACACAGAGAAGAGTTCTTTGCCACATAGAGATTCTGATATACCTCTCTCTCCAAATGTGAGAATTTTATTGATATCTTTTTGTTTGTTCTTGTTTGTTGTTTGATGCATATCGTTGTATTTGTAGCTTTTATAAAGAAAGTTCTTAAGTAGGCTAATAAACCTACATACTAGGACCAAATCATTTTTGCATCCTTACATGTATGTGATGCTTAAAATGTAATATGTCCCCCCCAGGGACACAGTACAAATGCATATATGTTTATGGAAATGGGTAAGATTTATCCTGTTTCTTTATCTATAAAACTGAAGCCGTTTTGAATTGTCAGATATTTTTGTGAACTCAATGCTATTTATTTTAGACTATTTGTTTTTGTCTTTAAAAAAAATCAGAGACCTGTAATAACTGATCATAAAGGAGAGTTCTGAATTTTTTTATCTTCCTTGACATTACTTTGTTTTTATTGAAGGAATAGCTGCAGTGACTAGTTAGCATAAGATACTTAAAGCCATTAGAAAAACATTCTGATTCAGATTAATTTAACAGTGTTAGAATGCTTTTTTGTTCTTGAAAAATATCATGTTAATATTTGTGCTGTTCTAAAATCAATTAAAGGCTGAAGCAAAAGCACTCTCATCCTTTGGGGATTTGCTACAAAAAGATAGTTCAGTTTCCAGTGGGGTCACCACACCAAAAAGAAGTGTTCAATCAGAAAAACTTTGCTCCCCTGAGAAATCCAAAGATTTGAGCTGTAACAATCAGAAAGATCAAATAAACAGTTGTATGTCTACAGTTGTTGAGACCAGGCATCCGAATTACTCTGAAAGGTAATGTTTGCATTTAATAAATGAATGGTATTTAAAACACTTACTGTACTAACTCATTCACTTTCATATTCTTTGCTTTTAAAAATAGCATGTATTATAAAGCTGTCTCAGTAATATATAATTTTGGTTATGGTAGAGGTCACTAGGTGGCATCATTGCATAGTCTTAAAGTTTGTTTTCTTGTTGTGGGAGCATATTTTTAATCTTGGAAGTAAATGCCATGATAATATTGCTTTATTTTGGTTTTGTTTGCTTTTTTTCCCATGTATATGTCCCTTTGAGGAAGCTGTGGCAAGCAAAGGAATTTATTCTCTGCCTCAGTATCACTAACTTACTTACTTTTTGAGGCAGAATTGCTCTGTGGGAACCAGGCATGGATATTTAGGCTTAGATCTTTAAAAGTTGAGACTGCCTGCCAGCCATTTGTGCTCACCTCTGATCAAGGACTGTTCATGTATTAAATGAACAAATTGCATTCATGATATATCCAGATTTACTTTATTTTTTCCTCCTGTGGGAAGTTGATGTGCAAACCCTGATATCTGCTGCCATTGCTGCTGTTTTAATTTTGCCAACCTCCTTAATTAGTTCAATTTATTCCTTCTGTATGAAGAGTCCATTTATAGTCTTTATAATTCTTAATATAGCTAGACTGAAGGACCCCTTCTTGGCCATAGTAACGACAACAAAATCAGAGATAGGGATGAATGTCAGCTCTTGATTTTATCCAGTTAATCAGATTTCTTAAGAGACCTGATTTGATTACATTCTGAATTTCTGCAGTGTTTTCCTGGTTTTGTTTTGCAATAAAATATTATTCCATTGGCCAGAATTGTTTGTCATTAGACAGTACATCATGCCAAGATGAGAACTTTTTTTTTTTTTTTTTTTTGCTTTAGGTCAGTAACACATAGCTCCATGTTCTCAGCAGACTTCAAACTATTTCTTTTTTCCCCCACTGCAGAAACATCTAATCTGTTTATGGAAAATAGTCAAACTTTTGGTTTCCAATACCCTGGTATCCAAGAAGACTACCTTTCTTCTGTCCCAAGAGAAACAAAAAAATAATTGTGACTTGTGCTCCATTTAGCTTTGTGCACCATGAGCCCACAGTGGCTTGTCTTCTCTTGCATCACTCCCCAAAATATTCTACATATACTCAAAAGAGCCAGCACAGCTACAAAGCAAACTGAAATGTCCACAATGATATGAAGGCAATTTCCCTTCTTATACCTTCTTTTTCCTCTGAATGGACTTCTTAAAATACTGTGTAGGGTGAACTTTCATTGGGGTGGACTTTTTCCCTCCTGATTCACATGGAGTAGATGTGACATACAATTAGGTCAATACGGTAGATTTGGAAAAGCTCTTTTAATGGTCTCTGGCTGCTAATATGTACAATCATATTTTCCTAGGTCTAGTTCTGGAGAAGAAAGTAAATCAAGTGCTATAAAACCTGCACAGTTCGCAAGGGGCCATCTACGGAGACCAAAGCCAAACCTAGTGAGAGCAACACAAAAGAGAGAAATTTGTGAAGAGAGAGAAAACACAAGTGAGGAAACGACTGAAGCTAGACCTACAGAAGAAGGTCTGATATCAATTGATATAAAATCAGAAAATCTAACCTCATTACTGGTAAGTACTGACTTAATAGGTCAGCCTATTAAGTCAGTGAATTATTTTCTTTTGCTTTCTTCTTATGACCTATGGATTTTGCAGAGTGTGAGGGGTTAAATTGATTTTTTTGAATATCATTGCCAGTGATGAATTAATGTAAAAATGAGCACAAAAGCTATGTAGTTTAGAAGTATTTTAGGGAAAAAAAAGTTTCTTTATATTTTACTGCATTACGTTTTGATTTGCCATCTATGATTTCATGCACTTACTTTTATTAACCTGCAAATGTTAAATAAATGTCCTTTATACAGGGCTTGTCTATACTGTGTCCTTACCACAGAATAAGCTGCACAATTTGCGATTGTGAAATGTCCTTTAATCCTTGTGGAGTACTGTGCCAGTTATTTTAAAAATCTATTTAGAAATAATGGGCTGTTTTAAAGACACGGAATAGCAGTATCCCGAAATAGCTCTGCAGTGTAGACATAGCCACACTGAACAATACAAATAAAGGCAGCTGTTCATAGCACAACTGCTTAAAATCTCTATGTATGCACACAAGGTCTGTTGTGGCTTATATTACATATTGGACATGTAACTACACAATTCTGGCAATCTTTTCAGACTTTTGTTTTAATTTGTACGACAGCACTGCTCTGACATAAGATGCTTTACTCTATTTCTTTTGTCTGTAATATACAACTTTTTATTCCCTCCTAAGGATATGATTTTGTCACAGCATGGCTTGTTCTTGTAAATTAAATGGGTCCTGTGCCTTTGTGCCAGAACAGGTGCTCCCAGTTAGGCAAGTTAAGGGGGGCAGGGCTGCATCTGGGGCTATAAAAGGGTCAGTGAGAGTTCTGGGGGAGGCAGTGAGGGTGTATCAAACTGTCTGAGAAAGCTAGGAAGCAGGAGTAGTATTGCTAGAGTTCCCTGTGATGGGAGGCAGTGAGAGCCGGAGCTATAGAGGGTGAGCTGAGTGAAGAACTTTTATTTGTTTATATATGGACAATAAACTCTATGAAAAAGATTGTGGGTAAGACAGTGAGTTCTTTGCAAGCTGAGGAGAAGCCCTGATTTCAGATAGGTTCACTAACTATTTTGGGCCTGTAAATTATTCTATGCAGAGGCCCATAGCTGATGTATTGGTAATTGTACTTCATGTGTAAAAGGGTGAGATGTTCTTATTGAACTGAACCAATTGATGACCTTTGAGATTGTGTCTTATTGGATCAAGTCAAGATTATTCTTTCACCCTCAAATAGTTTTCTGGATTTTATGCTGAAGGCTTTTCAGCAAATTTAGATGACTAGCAGGTGGTGGCAAAACCCACGGAAGAACAAGTTCAGGGGTTCTGTGTCAGCAGAGCTCCTGAAGGAAACTGCATCAACAACAAAATACACGAGTGCTCCACCCACTTTGTGTAGGAAACTTGCTGCTCTGGGCAAGCTTTACAGTATGACTGAACGAGGAAAGGTTAAAAAACCCAGATCATGTTTAGTCATGAGAAAAGAAGACTGAGGAGGGAACCTAATAAGACTTCAAATTTGTTAAATGCTGTAAAAGAGGATTGGGATAATTTGTTCTCCATGTCACTGAACATAGGACCAAAATAATGGACTTTATTTGAAGCAAGGGAGATTTAGGTTAGATTTTAGGAGAAACTTTCTAACTATAAGGGTGTTCCAAAGATTAACTAGGCTTCCAAGCAAATACTGTCTTTGGAGAATTTTAAGGACAGTTTGCACTAATACCTGTCAAGGATGATCCAGGTTTACTTGGTCCTGCCCCTTTTATAGAGGACTGATCTTGATGACTTCATGAAATTCCTTCCATCTCTTCATTTCTGTAATTCTGTCATTCTGTTTAATCCACTCCCTCTAAATTGCTGTAGCGTTCTCTTCAATTCATACAACGGCAGAGAAGAAACCATCCTCTTTTTTTCTCCTAATCTCCCAGCCTTTGTTTTGTGAAAAAATACAAGCAGTTTCTAGATCAGCCTAGGAAGAAGGAAAATGTAAGTCCTGAGTGTCAGTCTTCCTGATGATTGCTGTAGTTAGGCATGGGCCACCACAGGTGTGGCAATTAGCAGCAATATGAACTCTGGTACTAAGGGTTATACAGCTGTACAGAAAAAAATACAACTGGGCACAGTAGTCACTACTTATTTCAAGTGCTGTTCTGGTTCATATACTAAGCAGTCAGATAAGCTTAGAAAAAGGTTGCATAAGAAAGAAGCAGAGGTTACAAGTTTAGGATTGTGTTGAAGAATTTGACTAATTTTTTGTAAAGGCTCTGTGTCGAGATAACAGAAAGCTCTTAGTACTATCAGTATAGCATTATCCATTCTCAAATATAAACTAACTTTGGTAGTCATTGTCTTCATGTCTATTCAGCGCACATCTGGTAACTTAGTGGAAGCTGTATCCTCCTCAGAGGAGTCACGGAAAAAAGAGTCTGCAGACAGTATTGAGGCAGTGCCTCCTAAAAGGAGCAGGCAGTCCTGTAGATTCCAGTCTTCAGAGAGGTTGTCGGAGAGTGAAAGTCAAATAGAACCAGAGGAAGAGTCTCAGCCTCTTCATGCTCAAGAGAAGACATCAGTCAAACTGATAAGGTGAACTAACTAAGGATTTAATAACGAGATTAGTCCAACTAAGGTCCCTTAGTTAAGTTTCTCATTTTTTTTCTGTTTGTCCCCTCTTCCAATGTGGAGTACAAAGCTGTCTCATCCGTAGGATGAATTGCAGTGGCTGCCTCAGGCCCCAAGCTTTTGGGGGCCCCATAGTGGCCTCCCCAACCGTTCTATGAATGGGAGGGACCTGGGGAATTATGGTGGGCAGGCATGGGGTTACAGCAGGGGTCAATCCACACACTCACTCACCACACAGGTGCTGTGAGCCAGAGTGGCCCGGCAGCCTGCTCTCCCGCCGTGCCACCTTCTCCTTGCCAGCTGTGCCCCACTTTTCTGTGGTGGTGGGAAGCAGAGTGTCCTGGTGTTGGCGGCAGGAAACAGAGCACCCCTTGGAGAAGCCCCATGTGGCAGGTTGGGAGAGGGCAGCATGTCAGAGCGGAGCAGGCAGCTGGACCACTCTGGCTCCTGCTGCCCATCTGGTGAGGGGCAGAGGGCGGGTCTCTGTTGTTGCCATGCTAGGCCCCATAATTCCGTGGGCAGCCATTCCTTCCTCATTATCATAAATGACCAGATCCTCTACATATCAGAGTACAGCACAGCTTTCCAGAATTTCTGCCAGAAGTTAAAAGATAAGCAAGTTAATTATATCCACAAATATAGTATCAGTGCTTAGAACATTCACAAAGGAATGGGGAATACGGGTCAAAAGAGGTACTGATTTTGTTTTTCCCAACATATGTTGATAATTATCATGTCAAGACTGAACATAATCCCAATTACCACGTGAGTTCACTGTGACTAACATTAATTCCTTTTTATGTTTAATATTGCTGCTTGACTAAAAAGTGGATTTATTTTTCTATATAAATTTAGAACGCAGTCTAGAAGGTCATCTGAACAGGCAGGCCGGCCAAAACGTGTGTCTGAGCTAAGAGTAGCTACTTCTTCTGCCTCTGAATGTGAGGTTGATCGCTGTGAAAAGGGAAAACCACGTCGAAAGATTAAACCAAATATTGCCAAAGGTAAAGGCTTGAAAACTGCCCATGGCAAGAGATCTGGGAAGGAACATGGGAGTTCAAAGATAACTTTAGTGACCCTCAGAGCTTCTCAAGAGGAGGATGAAGATGATGCAGATGACTTGGAACTGGATGATGAAGATGAATGTTTTTCACCAGAAGAAGTAAACAAAGCTCCAGTGTTTGTTCCTGTAGGTCTTCGATCTCCAAAACCTGTTCCTGTCCAGATTGAGGAAACAATGGAAGAGGTGTGGTATGCTTTGTTGTTTTGGACATAGTCTTTCCTTTTGCCACTTGCTTTTCTTGCACTTGCTTTCCTTTGGGTTATAGAAACGAGCAATTTACGGCTATAGACAGGCTCTCAGTATTCATGGATAACTGGCTTAAAACCTGGCTTCCCACACATCCTGGCTCCTATGGAGCCACCTCTGCTCCCTTCCCCATGCTGCTGCCTCTGTATTAGAGGCAGCAGCAGGGAGGGAGAAAGCAGAAGTTGGTATGCACAGGGAGCTGACTGCCCCCCCTCCGCTGTGTTTTAACCTCTGAAATTTTCAGTGGTAACACATTTTAACATTCCTACTCAAAATTAATGAACAGTCCTGTGGCACTAACAAATTAATTAGGTTATGAGCTTTTGGGGGTAAAACCCACTTCATCAGATGAGTTGGAATGGAAATTACAGTATTCGGGTTATATGTAACAGAAAATTACCTGTCAATTGTAGGACCAGTTTTAATTAAGCTAATTAAGTCAGGCTAGATGTGTCTCATTCACAGTCTTTGGTGTGAAGATGGAAATATTAAAAGTAGGGAAATTGTCTTTGTAGTGTGTTAACCAGTTAAGATCTTAACTGACAGCAAAGGAGTGTTGAGACTCATGAATCTCTAATTCCATTTTGGATTCTGAAGGGAAGTGTGCTCCAGTGGTCATGGACCTTTCTGCGCCAGTTCCTTCATTGATCCCTTCTCATTTGTCCTTTCTCTTATGTCCTTATCTCAGTCCTGTGTCTCCCTCTCCCCTGGCTCATCATCCTAATCTGTGCTCAGTTTCCAGTCTTACTCCTTTGCTCAGTCACTCCTGGTTTTTCCCTAGCTTCTTTTCCCAGTCAGTCATCTTTCCATTGCAGCTCCCAATAGTCTTTCCTTGCAAGGCCAATCTTCTTTCCTCTTCTCTCCCTCCTCTCACTTCCATGGTTTCTTGCACCCTGGTATCCTTTCCAAAAAATGCAAGTAGACCCACAAAAATAAGCCACCACTCTGACTCTTGTTCCCTCTGGCTGTGTCCAGACTCAGGGGTTTTTTCGAAAAAAGTAGCCTTTTTTCGAAAAAACTTCACCTGCGTCTAGACTACAGCCGCGTTCTTTCGAAATTAAATCGAAAGAACACGGCTTTTCTTTCGATGGCGGTAAACCTCATTTCATGAGGAAGAACGCCTTTTTTTGAAAGTGCTCTTTCGAAAAAAGGCGTTCTTGAATGCCGACAGGGCTTTTTAGAAAGAGAGCATCCAGACTCACTCGCTGCTTTCTTTCAAAAAAGCGGCTTGCTTTTTCGAAATTTCCGCTTGCAGTCTAGATGCTCTTTTTCGAAAGAGGCTTTTTCGAAAGTATCTTTTGAAAAAGCCTCTTTCGAAAGAGGCTTGCAGTCTAGACATAGCCTCTGTGTTCAAGTCAGGCCATTTCCTCCACCAAGTTGCCTGGGAGCAGGAGTAGTAGAAGCATAGGAGACACTGTTCTCTGTTTTGTGGCCTGGAGAAGGAATTGCAGAGGAAAGCTCCGCTCAGTCCCTGCAATCCTGATATGGAGCATTCCCAACTGTTTTGTGGAGGTGGTGAATGCATGGTCCCAGTTGGTGCACAGGAGCTATGAGGGGTTAGAGGATGCTCAGAACATTGAGAAATTAGCTGTCAGATTATAGCAAGTGTCATCTGAGCCTGTGCAAAAGGAAATTTTTCAAAGGTTTATAGCTTGGCCAAATTGAACAGGTTTTCAGTGGAACAACAAAAAACCTTTCCCTGACTCAAAAGCAATCCTTGCCAAATTTCAAATCCCTGCTCCTAGTATCTCCACACTTTGAGCCTCTCAACAAAATGCCTTTTTATTTTTTTACATAGTAAAACAGTGTATTTTCACCAAATCTCATTCTGCAAAAATGAATTATTTTTGCTGAAACTTGTAAAATATAAATATATTTCAGGCTGGGACATGCATCTAGCATGGAAATTTTCAGCTGGAACAGTTAAGCAGCATTGTAAGCTACTGGATATGGGGTCTTTAGTGGGAAATTTTGGACAACCTTAATAAGAAGTGGTCCTAATAGTTCCACCAATAATTTTTAGTACTGTTGCCCCTTATCCACTCCAGTAACTAGTTGGGAGTAGGCTTTGTCTACACTGTTGCTTTTGTTGGCAAAACTTTTGTCAGTGAGGGATTTTAAAAAACACACTACTGACTGATGGAGGTTACACCAACAAAAGCACCAGCGTGGAAAGTGCTATGTTAGTAGGAGATGCTGTCCTGCTGACTATTGCCTTTTGTTGGGGGTGGCTTAGTTATGCCAGCAGAAGAGATCTCTCTTGCTGTCATAGAGTAGCTAGGCAGGAAACCTTACAGTGGTCCATAGCATAGACATAACCTTAGCTAACAGCCCCGAGCATCTTTAATCAACATCAGACTAGGGATGTAAAAGGGTAATGAGTTACCTGGTAAGCATCACCCTTAACCAGTGATGCTTAACAGGTAACAGTTAATGGGTACCTGGGAGCAACCTCCCACCCATGACCAGCCATGGACGCAAGGCTGCTCCAGCACCATCACACCCTTGTGTGAGGCCTGGAGCTTGCTCCCAGCCTGCATGTCTCCTGGCTGGATTAGGCCCTGCCTGTAGTGGGGGGCAGCCCACTCTCCCACCCTCCCTGTAATCAGTTAATTGGTTAAAACTATGTTAAACGGTTAACAAATTAAATGGGATTTTACATTTCTACACCAGCGCGCTGTCTAGTGTTTTGTAGTCTCTCTGTGCTTATTGGCTGCTGCCTATCTGCCTTACCTCTTTTCTTGCCTGTTCTCAGTTTTCTGTGTGTTCTGTTTTCCACCACTCTATCTTATCCCTGATACTCACCAGGGATGTGACTGTGTACCTGTGTACATGGTTATGCTGGGCTCATCTGTTAACCTTCACAGTTACATGCAACCCCCTCTCACCCAACACTGCTGCTTCTGTATCAGATGCAGCAGTGCAGGGGGGAGTCAGTATGTGTGGGGAGTCAGCTCCCACGGAGCTGTCTGTGGGCTTCTGCTCCCTGCCCATGCTGCTGCTTCTCCTACAGAGTAGCAGCACAGATGAGGGTAGGCGGGAGCCAGTGCTCACGGGAAGCCAGTTTAAAAGCCGGCTCCCTGTGAGCACCTTTACACACACGTTTACACGCTGAGTGGTGTAACAGCTAGAATTTTCTATTGGGTCATCTTTTAACTGGAATTCTACAGTTGTAAGTTGTAAACATGGCACAGCTTGTTTCTTACAAATGCAAACTTGACACTGGAGTGACTGACTCACCACAAAAAATAATTTTCACTCTTCTATGTTCAAAAGTTTGAGGAGTAGATGTGTTACTCTGTAACTAAAAAAACTTAAACAATGAATAGTCCTGCAGCATCTTAGAGAGTAACAAAAAATGTCGATGGTATCATGAGCTTTTGTGGGCACAACCCACTTGTTCAGATGAAAGAAGTGGGTTGTGCCCATGAAAGCTCATGATACCACATACATTTTTTTTGTTAGTCTCTGAGATGCTGCAGGACTTTTAGTTGTCTTTTAAGTTTTTTCACTCTTGGTATTCTCACCTTCTTCTTAACTGGCTGGGAATGGGCCATATCCACCCTGACTGAATTAACTTTGTTAGCACTAGTGCTCTGAATAGTAATATGACACACCCATCTTTGCATGTGTTTATATTTATCTGCCAAATAGATGTTTCCATTTCATGAATCTGACAGAAGTGGGTTCCATCCACGAAAGTTTATACCCAAATAAGGCTACGTCTACACTTCAAAGAAAAGTCGGAAAAAGATATGCAAATTGCGAATCAATTTTCTTCTGCTTTTCATTCTGAAAGGGGCTTTTCCGACATTTGGCCTGTCTACATGGGGCCAAATGTCGGGAAAAACTCCTCTTTCGCAACATTCCTTCTTCCTCGTAAAATGATATTTACAGAGATGCCGAAAAAACATGCCTGCTTTTCCGATTTTTTTTTTCCGGAAAAACAGTTGCATTCCTTGGACACGGCAGAGCTTTTCCAGGATACCTTGGGGGTCCCGGAAAAGCGGTGTAGTCTAGACATACCCTAAATATGCTAATCTTCAAGGTGCCACAGGACGATACATTGTTTTGACAGGAAGGTTTTTCAAATGCAGGATTGAGAGCAAGACCTCCTAAATTGACTGAGAGCAGGGACTGGAAACTGCATGTTCCACATCCATATTATGTTGTTGAGTTGAAGGCCATGAATTGATTCAGATCAGGGACTTGAACCTGGTATTCACCTGGGATGTGGCTGCCCTCTAACTAGTAGGCTGGTTAGTTATTCTGGGGTGGGTCACGTTTTTGATGATGTGTAAAAACAAAAAATCATTTTAATTGCGGTGTGGAATGAAAAACCTCAACACTTCTCACAAAACAGTGTTCTTGTATTCCAGAAAGCCCTTTTGGTAAATAGAAATAGGGCATAACTTATTTGATGAATAGTTGGCCAACCATACATATTTCATGTTGTTTTCTATCTTTAATACCCTCTAGTTTATGATCTGGGTTAAGATCTGGATAACTTGTGAAAGGTAGCTCTATTCCAAATCCGTACAGAAGCCTTTGATAAAGGATATGTATAATTTTCGAAAGGCATGGGCTTTGTTTTTGTTTTTAAGCTCATTGTAGCCCATAGATGTTTACACTGCCACAGTTTTCTTGTTCAGCAAAGACCCAGTGTTTCGCTGTCTGAGAGTGCCCTCGATCCACTTCTGCTTTGAGCTGGTTGATTTGTTTCTACCATAGAATATTTGGAACATCTAGTTTATCCTGGTCATTGAGTCTGTATAAAGCAGGCATGGGCAGTAATTTTTGATGGGAGGAAGGGCCTCTCCAAGAATTTGGTAAGTCAAGGGCCAAACTCTTCCACGAGGAGATATGGAGTCTGGTATGGAGACAGTTTGATGCAGCCGTGGGTGTGGGGTCTGGGGTCTGGGAGAGGGTAGGGTGTGGGAGTTCAAGGTGTTTGGATTGTGACCTGGTGCAGGGTCTGGGTAGCGGTCTGGGTGCAGGAGTAGGTGTGCAAAGGGTTGGGGAGAGGAAGGGGCAGTGGGAGGCTTTGGCCAGGAGGCGCTTGTCTAGGCAGCTTCCGGTCAGCAGCCCAGATGGATCCCCAGGCAGGATTCCTGCCTTTCATGCTCCCCACATGCCACTCAGATCAGCCAGCTGTAGGGGCCATGTGTTGTCTACATGCTGGGAGGAGAAGGATGATTCTTTGCATGTTGCCTGTGCCACAAGCACAACACAGGCAGCTCCCATTGGCTGGTTTCCAGCCAATGGTAGCTGCAAGATTTGTGCTGGGGGTAGGGCAGTGTGTAGAACATTCCCTCTTCCCCTGGCAGCATGGCATATAGAGAGCACATGGCCCCTGCAGCTGGGCCAGATCTGCTATATTTTGCCCATCTCTGATATAAAGTATGTGCCCTCACCAGTGTTCTCCATAAGCTATGTGCTTGTGCAACTCCTCAGTAGAGATTCAAATGCTGCCCTACTGATTATCAGAGTGCCCACAGCTAGGTTTTTTTTGTTTTTGTTTCTACTTGTGGTGCACATTCGCAGATGCTTTGGTGCACATAAAAATGTATCTGCTATATTTTGCCCATCTCTGATATAAAGTATGTGCCCTCACCAGTGTTCTCCATAAGCTATGTGCTTGTGCAACTCCTCAGTAGAGATTCAAATGCTGCCCTACTGATTATCAGAGTGCCCACAGCTAGGTTTTTTTTGTTTTTGTTTCTACTTGTGGTGCACATTCGCAGATGCTTTGGTGCACATAAAAATGTATTCTGCACATGGGTGGAGAAGATTAGATGGAACATTCGCTCTCACTCTTGTTCTTTTCTTATTCCATATAAATTCAGGAATCCTTTGTATTCCTGCAAGGGTTTTATCTGACAATCACAGAAAACATTTGAAACAAGAAAGAAGTTTATTTTGTTTGTTTTGACTGTAGCTGGTTGTTCCAATTAAGAAATTGCATACTTCCCCGGCATCTCAGATATTTTTTTCATTTTGCTGAAGTAGGATTTGACATTAAAATCATTGAATTCAAATCTCAAATAATGTAAAAGAGCTCTAAGGTATCTTATAATTTGTTGCCCATTTGTAATCACATGTTTCCTGGAGAAAAGACTTTTCAGAGTCTGGAAAATTTGTAGCTAGCATTTCAGATTTGGCATGAAAAGTGTCAAAGGTGGTAGCAGTGTTAGTCTGTAGTTTTAAAAATGAGTAGTCCTGTGGCACCTTAGGGTATGTCCACGAGGCGTACAGACAGTTCGGAATGGCTTGCTAGTCCGAACTATCTAGCCCGTGCCGCGTGTAGCCGCTCAGCACGGGGTTCGAACAAGCCAGCATTTAAAAATGGCGCCGGCCGGCTTATGCAAATAAAGCCCGGGAAATTCAAATCCCGGGCTTCATTTGCACGTTCGGTATGCATACATTACCCCGCTAGTTCGCACTAGCGGGGTAGTGTAGACATACCCTTAGAGACTAACAAAAATATATATATATAGTATCAAAGCTTTCATGGGTAAAAAGCTCATCTGATGAAGTGGGTTTTACCCATGAAAGTGCATGATTTTATATAGATTTTGCATAGTTTACTTGAAATTAAATTTACTCTCTTTCCAAAAATCATAGATTATTTTAGATACTAATTTTAGGGAAATATTTGGTTTAGATAAAAATAGTTCTGTGTGCATAAAAACCATTTTCTGTTGTGTTCCTGAAAGTTTTAGACAGCTTTCTTTTTTGAATAAATCGGAATCTTTTCATTTTTACAGCTTGAAATATCTGTGAATGTTCCAGATGTGCCCTGTATTACTACTGCTGAATATCTGTCTCATGATTTAAATGTGGTTGTCCAGCCTGTGATGCAGGGAGATGAAAATCTGAATGCCTCACAAATTGTAAGCATCCCTTTTTTTAGTAACATACTTATGGTTATAGCATGTAATTGTTTAATTGTTATAGTGTTAAACATCAGAGTACATGTAAGATAGTAATAGTATGGCATGGTGTATTAGTAGTAGACGGGCATGGCATGCACAGGAAATATGTTCAGATGGCTGTCAGTCCACTGTTGATGCTGTTCAATCCCATTCGATCACGGTGGATTGCTCATGCTGAACTTTGAAGTAGAAGAATTGGCCATTAGGGACTAAATTGAAATCGAAGATTCATTTTACTTGGGATTTTGACTCTATTTATCTTGACCTTTTGTATCTTTTCTTCAAGGAAGTGGCTACTCATGAAAATCCAGAGACTGACTCGGGTAAATACATGATGCACTTATTTATGGGTGTCCTTCTGTTCTGACATCTCTACGGTAGTTTTCTCAGCAAGAATTCTGAGTCTTAAGAAATTTCATGTCTCCCATAGATTGAAGCTAGCCAAGCCTGAATTGATGAGTGTTACGCTTGTCAGTGAGCATAGCTCCTCCAAAATCTACTGCTTCAGTGTGATCCATTAGACAGACCAAGGGTTAAAAGGCTATTGGCTCAAGCCCAGACTCGGACTGTCCTGTGCTCCCTCTCTCACCTCTACTGGTTGAGTCTTAAGAAATTTCATGTCTCCCATAGATTGAAGCTAGCCAAGCCTGAATTGATGAGTGTTACGCTTGTCAGTGAGCATAGCTCCTCCAAAATCTACTGCTTCAGTGTGATCCATTAGACAGACCAAGGGTTAAAAGGCTATTGGCTCAAGCCCAGACTCGGACTGTCCTGTGCTCCCTCTCTCACCTCTACTGGTTATCCATACTGCAGATCAGGGAGGGGAAGGAAAGGCTGAAAGGTGCAGGAATGGGCAAATCCATGTCTTTGCTGTCAACTACCATCCCCATCTCATGTTATGGGGGAAACAGGGACACATAATGACTAAGTTGGAAACTGCTTTCTGGTCTGCTCCTGGAAAAATAATATTTTTCCAGTACATAAGGCTGATTGCAAAAAGCTCCAATTGAGCCTTTGTTTTTTTTATAATTGCATTTGGAAACTTTGCTAAAAGGTGGCTTTGTTTAAAGGTAAATAACATTGTCATTGCAGAGGCAAAAACTTATTGGGAGTTGATAGGCTTATTTCAGTGTGATGGCTTTGGACCACAGAAATGTTGTATTTGGTGCTACCAAAGTAGTCAAAGGTGAAAGGACAAGGAATGACCAGTAGATAGGGCATAGGACTAAGTCACAAGACATGGATCTAGACCAGAAGGGGGCAAACTACAACCTCTGTAACCCTCAAGCTCTTGCTGGGGAACAGGGTCTGGGGCTTGCCCTTTCTCTGTACAGTGCCTGGAAGCAGTGACATGTCCCCCTTCCTGCCATCTGCTATGTGTAGGGGCAGCCAGAGGACTCTGTGCTGTTGCCACCCCAAGCACTTCCCCTGCAGATCCTATTGGCTGGGAACCACCACCTGTAGGCTCTGCAGGAGCAGCACCTGTGGCTGGGGAAGGGAGGACAGTGCAGTGCACCGAGCCACCTGGCCGTGCCTCCTTGTATGGTCTGGCCAGAAGGGGAGCATGCCTAGAGCCCTGCATGGATACAAAAATGTGGATCCACATCTGCTAAGCTTAACGCCTCATACAATCTATGATCTGGATTTTACTTGCATCTGCAAGCAAACCATCTGGAAGGGAGATGGGAGAGAGCACAAATGAGTGAAGATGGGACAGGGTGGTTCGGGGAAGAGGCAGGCAGCTTAAAAGCAGAGCCTGGGGGAAAGAGGCCATAGGGAGCCAGGGCTCAGCAGGTCATTGCTCACCATGTGAGGGGCAGGGGAGCAGGGCAGGACCGGCACTTGGCCTTTCCTGAAGGCAGATTTATGACAGAGCTTGTTGTGTCCTTTTCCCTGCCGGCAGTGCAGGAGCATGCCCAGTTGTTTCTCCTCACCCTAGAGGCCAGGCAGAGAATGCGGGGAGAGCCCTGCATGGTTATCCACTCCACTATCCATGGATATGTAGGGCACTAGACATGCCGCTGCTTTCATGAGCTGCTTGAGGGAGTAAGTGCAGCCTGGAGCCTGCACTTTTGAGTCCCTCCTGTGCCCCACCCTCTGCCCTAGTCCTGATGCCAGTCCTATCCTCCAAACCGTTTTTTCTCAGACTGGAGTACTGTCCTTCTCTCAAACTCCCAGCCCCACAGCGGAGCCCCCCACCCCGTCAGAGCCTTTATCCCCCTCCCCTACACTCCATCCCCTGTCCTAGTCCAGAGCCTCGACTTGTCCTCCAAAACCTTTGGTCCTAATCCAGTGCCATGTCCTGCACCCCTAGCCAGAGCCTTCACCCACCCTCCTTGCACTCCAGCTCCCTGCCCCAGCCCAGAGCACCCTGAACTTCTCATGTCTGCCCCCCCTCCAAGATCTTGCACCCCAATCCCAAATTTGTGTGTGTTCATGGCTCTCCATACAATTTCCCTACCTTTTATGTGGCTCTTGGGCCAAAAAATGTGCCCACCTTTGCAAATGTCAATGACTTGGAACAAACTGTTTCCTTGGTCTGTATCTGTTTTCCTCTATAAAATGAGAATACTGCTGCTTACTCAGTGTTTCTACAACACTGTTAGTTTAATGGATGACCATTGCTACGTATGTTAAGTACTGGAAAAAAACCCCATGTTTTGTTTCAATTTAACATCTGTGTTTTGATCATGTTTGAGTTAAACTTCCAAGGAAACCTCTGTGCTTGTGATTTAATATGCATATGAACAACTTTGCAGGGATTAATGATGGAAGCACTGAAGCTGCTATGACATTACTTGCAATGGGAGATCCAATGTTTCAGTTAAAAATAAGCACTCAAGGTATGATCCCTATCTGCCAAATCTTTCTGTGTGTATCTTGATTCACTTGTGGATTGGGGTTTGGGTAACTGACCCTTCCTTCATATCCTTTCACTGTAGCAATTGTCGAAGCAAAAGCCTCACTCAGTTTACATGGCTAAACAGACAGTTTTATTGGCCAATAAAAGCAAAGTGAGCCAAACGTGGTCCCAGCAGAGCTGGGCCCAGTGAGGCTAGCTAATACAATTAATCCTAGTATTTTATACCCTTAACCAAACAAGTCTGACGTCAGGGCAAGAAATCAAAGCGAACTTCAAAGGGGAATTATTATCAGCAGAGAAAGAAACAGGTTTAGAGGGAGTTCGAGCTTCAGCTCAAAATAGTTCATTAACACATTCCAACAGCGCATCCTTCTGGCCTCTCCCCACCTCTGTGAAGGCCAGTTCACTCCCTCTAGTATACGTGCAGACACGAGAAACTGAAATGGCTTTTGTTATACAGAATGGCTTCTAGCTAAATATGAAATGGTTTCTACACAATGTAGGTCTGGATTCTTCCTTTATGCTCAATATGAAAGAGAGGAGGATGGGCTGAGCCATGATTTACTCTGCAGTGCAATGAAGTAGCTCAGCCCTTAGCCAAAATACGGCCATTTGCATAACATGCTTGCCAGAGGTGCATGGAGCTCTTTTTCAGAGGACCACTGATAAGTACTTCACCCCATGGAAAAACATGTCCTGCCCAAGGCATCTCTTACTGGCAGTATGACTTCTGTAGATAATTGACATTCAGCATCTTTGTTCTCTGCTGTCCTCTCTTTGGACTGCTAAGAAGGGTTTTGCAGGTGTGTATGTGGCTATGTTGACTGGTATTTTCTGCCATTCCTTGAGACTCAGGCTAATAAAGCACTCATGCTACCACACACAGAGATGAATCATTTTATTAAAAATTTAAGTCTAGGTCATTTTATTGTCTGTCTTAAGTATAGTCAGAACTTGTCCTCAGGTTTGGTCTCTTGCTTTGAGTTAGCAGTGGTTGGCACTATTGCAGAGCAGAATTAAAAAAAACTTTTGTAAAAGAAGAAGCCAGTACAGATGGTAAGACTTCTGCTGACCATATTCAAAGAGCTGTTGCAGCACTATGTAACTGACAGATGTAGCATAGGGGGCGAGGAAGTAAATGAATTTTTACTTCAGCTTTTCATAAGGGCCCAATTGACTAATGAAGCTTTAGAAAAAGTGTTGCTGACTTCCTAACTGATTTTTTTCAGTGGATAAAATGCATTATTTCTTTCTTTGATAGGACACTCATGTTCACTTGATTCTTTTGTTAATTTTTAAAACAAAATTGTACAAAAAGCAAATGATGATTCAGAGGTTGAAGGTTTGGTATCCTCATCTGATGTCTCTTGGGAGATGAAACTTGATCTATTAAAAGCATTTTAATGACAATTTAAGTATGAAACTAGTACAAAGATTATTTTCATTATTCCTGAATCTCCAAAAGTGGTTATGCTCAGTAGTGTGATTGGTGCTGTTGAGATATAATCAAGTCATTCATCACCCTCCAGAGCTAATACTATAGAAAATAAACATTGGAAAGACAAAACATGGTGGAGGAGATCTAGAAAAAGTGTTAGATTTTTCTATTATGAATCTTTTTTGTGTTTTGTGCTGGTACTAATGTCTCATGAGTCAGACCAGTGGAGAGAAGCTAGGCTTAGGTGGTTCATACTTGTTCATCTGTCTTTGCCTTTTTTCTCTAACCAGAAAATTGTTTTCCTTTTCTGTTTAGCCATACTGCTAAATAATTGTTTATTAACTGGCATTAGGTTGACTTTTAATATATATTAAGGTAATTCCTGCACTCTAACTAATGAAATATCTAGACATCAAGATGTACTTTTACCCAGGATTTGAATTTGTATCTTTGTAGAATGCCATTGTGGTGAGTGAGGCCTATAGTTGTATGTGGAAACAACAAAACTTGCATCTTTTTAATTGTGCCTTTATTTTTAAACAAGGACAGAGACAGATGTTCCCTGATCAAGATGAGATGCACATGGCTAATAGTTTTATAAACCAACCTAATGCAGAGCAAAATGTGGTCCCAAGTAATCCATCACTTTCTTCACCTGCTAATAATGAACTGGTTCCCTCAAAAGATGGAAACAATGTAATTCTATGGAACCAAAGAGCTGAAAAAGAAGAAAATGTAGAAAAATGCTTTAAGGAAGATGCTGCACCCAGCAGGTTAATTTAACCAATTTTCTTTAATCTTTTCTCCCAGTGATCTGTTCTCTGACAGGGCTCTCTTTAAGGCTTCTGCCACCATACTTTGAAGTTGTCTTGTGTTAGCTTTCATGGCTCATACATTATGTAGTTCCACTCCACCTGGATGCCTGTCTTTGTCTCTTGTATTTTAACCTAAACACAAAGACCCTATATAAAAAGGGAAGTGATGGAAATGTACTACTTCCACTTCCTGAATCCCCATTTTAAAATAATTCATTTTTTCAAGCATATCCTTTTAAACTTTTCTCATGTATGCTGGCTGCTGTTTTATCTGGCCTTTTTTTCTGAAGATCTTGGTTCACTGGTCAGGCAAATGCCAGGGGTTGACTTTTCATTGCTTCCTGTCACTTGTCGTGCAATTGACAGGCTCAGCCTCTGTACATCTCTAACTGTCAGAGCTTTTACCACAGCTAGAGCATGTTGTTCTCCCCTGCTTTCTATTGTTTAAAGATGCACTTCAAGTTTAATGAAGTAACTTAATGGAACTTCTTTTCAAGATGTGATTGATCTTGTTACCTTGTTTAGAAAGTTGGTTTCTTTTATCTGTTTCCAAAAATTATCAAATGTACCTTCTCTGAAAGTGTTTAAGATCTTTACATTGCAGAAAAACCTGACAGTGCAAAAGTATGACTCCATCTGCTTGTTTTTAACTCAAAGTGACCCCCTCCCTCCATTAATCCCCAACCCTTAAATTAGATGACCTACTTTATCTTAATGTTAAATTTAATCAAAATATTACTTTTTTAAAAAAAAGATTTCAGTTGCCAGGTTAAAATTCTAGCTTACCAAGCTGCTGAGAGTCTCTCTATTCTGGTCCTTGTTGGTCACAATTGTGCACTCCAGCTCCAGTCACTCAGAATTCTCCCAGTTCAATTGGTCTTTCTGCTTTGCTGCTTCTTCCTGCCAGCCTGCCCACTTTTTTCTGCAGACTCCACTATTCTTGTTCTTTGGCCCATCTTCGACTCCCCTGCTGTGCCCTGACCCCCTTTCCACTATGTCCCTCATTGCTGGTATTTATCTTCTTTTGACACTGAATTCAAACACATTAAATAATGGGAGGATTAAATTATTTTTATGGCATGTTTCTGTTTCTTTGTAGTGATCACCCTGTGCCCAAATTGAATAGTACATCAAGGCTTGCAAGATGCAGACTTCCTAAGCCTAAGCCAAATCTGAGCAGGGTTTTAGGAACAAACAGGAATGTTACTCAGAAATCTCTTCTTCAAAGTGCAGTTGTGGAGCAGTTCAACCAAATTCAAAGTGGTAAGCTTCTCCCTCATTTTCAAGCTTTAGAAAATAGGAGCCTGAAGGTAGGGTTAGGATAAACTGGCAGCTCTGAAAAATTGTGGGAAAATCAAATAAAAAATTGTAGTGAATAAAAAATAATTTGGGTCCTAATGAAACAATGTATTTACAGACATTTTTAAAAGGTGAGGCAGCAAGCAGTAGCCTTAATTTTTAGCCCAGTGGTTAGGGCATTCACCTGAGGGAGAAGAGACCTGGATTAAAAGCCACTTTCAGAGCTGAGATTTGAACCTGAGTCTCTCCCATCCCAAGAGATGTTCCTTAAACACACAGCTATAGGGTATTCTGCATTTTCTTTGTCCCCATCTCTTCTTCTGAAGCTGTTCCATGTTGTAAATAGCTAAATAGCCACTGAGAATAGGTGAAAATAATTCTGTTGGAGATACACGTTTGAATCCATGATCTGGATCAGGGACTTGAACTCAGGTCTCCCTTCACCCAGGTAAGTGCCATAACCATTGGGCTAAAAGTTAGGTGGCCTTCTCCCCTCTGTCATTTTGTGATGCTGGGACATATTTTTATTTCTGGATTAAAAATATTTGGCACATTCATGGCAAATTTGTAAATTGCTTCAGAGCAACTGAAACTGCATTTTTGACAAATTTAGTTTTAAACGTTTTGTCCAGCTCTACTTAAGAACTTGCCTTTTTAGCCTTTTTTTTTTTTCTTTCTGAAAATCTTGGCCTTAAAACTAAAACAAATTGAAAACTCAGCTTCCTGTTCATAACTACAGCCATGCATTAACATTTCAACAGCGGAGTTTTCAGCTATTAAATTACATACTTGCCTCCTGTTCTTGTACCTCTTTTCAAGTATAACCATATTTGTCTTTGTAATATATTTTAAAATAGTCCCATCAGCTAATGCATATGCGGTAATGTAAGACATTCAAACTAAGTCATCTTGCTGTGGTAGAAAAATATTTCACACAATAATGAACATGATTTACCTTAATTTTTAAAATCATAGAGGGGAAAGCTCTAATAGAGACCATAGAAGAGCCAGAAGTGGAACTAGAATGGAAAATCAGACCAGCTGAGAACAGTTCTGTAGATCTGAAGAATTTTGGATCTGGAAGCAGAAACCTTGCTAAGTAAGTAGATGATATTAACAGATAAGAAAAAAAAATCGTATGTTAATTAGTGTGTGAAATGTTTTGGACTAAATTTTCAAAAATGTACATTTTGAATGCATGCATAAAACAGGGATATGTACAGATATGTGCAATGGTGTATCTTTAGTTGTTTTGGTGCATGACTTAGTTCCACAGTGTGATTGGGGTGAATAGCCTTAACGTAAGACTAATGGAATAAAACTTTTATTTGTATGTTTGGCAAAGTAGCCATTATTGAGTCCCAGGAACTGAAAAAGCAACTAGCTCTATTTTTGATAGATACTCTGGATGACATTTATAGAGGTCATGATTCACCTGTGGGCTGTTTGACTGACTGTGCTTGCAGCTGCAGCTATAAATGTCTCACTTTGGATAACTTGTGAGTCTGAGTTAGCAGAGGTTTGTCAACTAAGGTATTTCTCCAAAATATTTTACCCTTAGGAGATTTGTGGGGGATTTTTAATATTTTTCCTTATTAGAGGAATCTAGTTATGATCTAAGGAGTTTATCTTCAGTACGATTTGTTTTACTGATTGCATAAAGAAAATACATCAGCAAATAGTAACGATAACAGCTTTGCAGAATGCCCGATTTACCCCATGTTACAGTATGTTACATATTGTTAAATTGGTATCAAATAAACTGTATACATCTTTCAGAACAGAAAACAAGACACAAGACACCTTGGAAGCCTCAGTGGAGTTAAAACTTCCAACGGTATCTTCAGAAGCAGAAATTTCCATACCTGGGCTAGAGAATGAGTCTAATCAAAGTTCTACTGGTGTCCTTCCTGAAAATAAGCCTTGTACTGTTGTACAGAACTTGCATGAAGTTCACTTGATACAGGTAAAAAAAAGTACTTGTATTTTTTTTAAAACATTTGATGTATTAGAAATGCCTGTTTTTTGTAAGAGGTTGTAAGAAGAGAAGTTATTTGGAGAAACTATAAAGAAGGCAATGACAATAGATGCTGCCTCCATGGGTCCTCTGATGCTGGAGCACCCACAGAAGAAATTAGTAGGTCTAAGCACTCCCCTGGCAGCCAGCCTATTTTTTTTCCCACCCCTCTCCTGCAAGAACCTCCCATCTGCAGATGGCCTCTGCCTATTAACTGCTTTCCTCCCTCCCAGCACTTCCTGCCTAATGCAAATCAGCTATTTCTCTGGTGTAGGAGGCTGTAGGAGAGAGGAGGAGGAGTGGGAATGAGGTGCATTTATGGCAGAGAGTGGAAAGAGGCAGAAAAGAGGTGGGGTACAGACGGGGGTAGGGGATGAGGCCTGGGGCAGAGTGAGGGGTTGAACACCCCCTGCAGTTCTGGAGGAAGCTGGCACCTATACCAATTACATTTTTTAAAAGTTTTCATTCATTCTGGATAACTAGTTGAAACTTTAATGGCTTGTGGTATACACGACTTTAGTTTAGATGAACTAATGGACTCCTCTGGCCTCAAAAATCTCAATCCTAAATTACTTGTTCCTGATGAGATAATTTAGCCCTGAACCACTGTAATATGTACATACACAGCAGAAAGATGCAGTCTTGGGATCTGCATGGACCCACATATATGTCCACAAAAGTATTCCAAATGATGCTCCCCCTTTGAGGTGTGCATGCTTCAGTTATGATCATTTGACTTTTTTCTCCTTAGATTGTAGCTTTAATTTTGCCAGAATGTTATGATCAGATTTGCGTTTCTATACCAACCCTGTCTCACTTGATTTAAAATTATTATTGGCCTCTTTGTGGCAAACTTTAGAGTGACAAGGTAGGTAAGGTAATATCTTTTATTAGATACTTCTGTTGGTGAAAGAGACAAACTTTCAAGCTTCTACAGAGCTTTTCAGATCAGCATGTCTATCTCACCAACAGAAGTTGGTCCAATAACAGAAATTCTTCTTCGAGTGTCCCCATGGGTGCTCCACTCTAGGTGTCGGGTCCCGCCGCGGCACTGGGACGGGAACTGACACCTAGAGTGGAGCACCCATGGGTCACATCTCGAAGAACAATTGTTACTTCACAGGGTGAGTAACTTCTTATCTCCCCCATATTATATCTTTAATGCCCCAGGACTAACATGGCTATAACACTGCACTTAAGATATTAGCTTGAAGTTTGTTGATGATGTTAATTGGCTAAAGTTTAATTAAGCAACAACCTCCTCAAAAAACAAACCTGAAAAAAACAAACTCTCCTAGTTACTCTGAGTTTCTTAAACCTTTAGGTTTTGGTTAATGAATATACTTCAGTCTACAGAGAGCATTTTACAGATCCAATAAATTGCCAAGCACTTGACTTCCTTCCTGATGCTAACAGGGACTAAATTATCATAGCTCTTTTGCTTTGCCCTTTAGCATTGGTTTAGAGCTCAACTGACTCTACCCAAGTGGAACTGAGTGGCCTCACAATACTCCACCCGTAGCAAGAGTACTTATAAAATACTATTTTTTAGCAACTTAATTTGCCTCAAAATGGAAGGGGAAGAAAGAGTGACTAAGCTCTGTGTTTTTCTCCAAGCACCACAGTGTTTCCGTAATAGGTAGGGGAATTGATGCTCTTTGCACTTCTGAGCAATCCATTAAATGAGTCAGCTTTGCAGGGTTGTTCTGTAGAAAAAGTAACTTGATTTTTTTAACAAACCATTGCTAGAGAGAACGAAGATAAAGTGCATAAAAGCAGAACACAATAATTCTTATAGTTAGATTTCCCAAGTGTTTCTAGTCCCTATTATTTTCACATTCTTCTATCCTAAATCCTCAGCACAGTTTGAAAAAAATCCAGAAAACTAGATAGGGTGTGGTTAAATTATTCTGCTTTGTTAATGTTTATCAAGTGTTACAAATAAGACTTCATAAAATTTTCTGTTTTCTAGAGTTGTTTGCTAGGCTTGTTAATATTTCTTATGGAATACTTTTTTCTAGACCGAAGCAGTTACACAGCAGTTTCAACATCAACATATAACCAGCACAGAAGAAACTTGTGCATACAGTTCAGGTACAATACATTTATGGCCTAAAACAGCAAAGCAATACTTGCTAGCCCAATTAGGTGTAGTATTAAGTCAGGATGTCTGGGAATTATTTTTCATAATATTTTTTCATTTTAATATGTATGGAAAAATAAAATGAAAACAAAATTAGTATGGTAGAAATACTCCTGCAAGGATGGACTAACAAATTAAGAACTTTCTATAATATTGATGTTGCTGACTTTTTATTATTTGATATTGAAGTAGTTTGAGTTAATCTGCAGATAATTGATTTTTTTTTGCTATTGTGTATTTTAAATTCATGCTGTAAGTCACAGGAGAGACTTAAGTTTTGAACCATTTTTATGTTGTCAGTAAGCTTACACATTTGAATGCAGCAGAAGATATTAAGTGGATACAGACCTTTTTAGACCAAACTAAGATGAATAATAACATTCAGAACTGCTACAGTCTGAATAAGGAAAAAAAAAATCTCTGAATTAAAAATCAGATACACATACTGAAAAGGAATTATTAGTCTTGTTGCTAGATTGTAATTTACAATTTCAAAATGAGGGTATATGTGACTCCAGGCTGCTCTTTCCTCTCTATTCCTTTGTGCCTTGTTATTGCAGAAGTCTTGCAATAGGGAATCTGCTTTCAAAATATGAACTGATATAAAGAAAGTAGATTAAGAATGGAGTAGTACTTATGAAAATCAACAAAATGGAGGGATTTCTGCTTTATGTTGCAGTTGTACCTTTGTGTATATTTTAGATTGAGCTTTAATTTTCAATCTGTTCTTTCTAAGCCATTCTCCTTCACAAACTTTTTTTAGGATACTCTAAATTTAATGATAGAATGCTGCATGTAGTCTATGTGATGTGGTAGCTTGTTACATTGTAGCTCAACCTGAAGAAGTAATTAAATAACACTGATGTTTGCTAGACTTGGAAACTGATTCCTTGTCTTTAACTGTCTTGTTAAATTTACCCTTACTGGTGGCAGTTGTCTGCTATCTATCTGTTAATGTTTGACTCTTGGGGAAAAAAAAATCATAGAATCACAGAACTGGAAGGGACCTTGAGAAGTCATCAAGTCGAGTCCCCTGCCCTGATGGCAGGACCAAGCACCGTCTAGATCATCCCTGATAGGTTGCTGTCCAGCCTGCTCTAAGATACCTCCAGTGATGGAGATTTCACAACCTTCCTAGGCAGTTTATTCCAGTGTTTAACCACCCTGACCATTAGGAAGATTTTCTGAATGTCCAACCTCCTTTGCTGCAATTAAAGGCCATTGTTTCTTGTCCTATCATCAGAGCCCAATGAGAACAATTTTTCTCCCTCCTCTTTGTAACATCCTTTTAGATACTTGGAAACTGCTATCGTGTCCCCTCTGTCTTCTCTTTTCTAAGCTGAACAAGCCCAATTCTTTCTGTCTTCTCTCATAGGTCATGTTTTCTAGACCTTTAATCATTTATGTTGCTCTTCTCTGGACCCTCTCCAATTTCTCCACATCTTTCTTGAAATGTGATGCCCAGAAGTGGGCACAGTACTCCAACTGAGGCCTAATCACCACAGAGTAGAGGAGTAGAGCAGAAGAATGACTTCTTGTGTTTTGCTCACAACACTCCTGTAAATGCATCCCACTGTCGTGTGTGTGTGTGTGTGTGTGTGTGTGTGTGTGTGTGTGTGTGTGTGTGTGTGTGTGTGTGTGGTTTGTTTTGTTTGTTTGTTTTTGCAAGTGTTGTACTGTTGACTCAAATTTAGCTTGTGGTCCACTACGATCCCTTTCAGCAGTACTCCTTCCTAGACAGTCACTTCCTATTCTGTATGTGTGAAACCGATGGTCATATGGACTTCCAGAATGTTAGTATTGATGACCAATCCTACTGTAGAAGTACATCATCATAGGTTGTCTGTGGGGACTAGAACCTGGGACGTCTGCCAAAATAACAGGAACCTGCTGCTTTTACTAAAGGAGTAACTATTAGCTACTGGTGGTAGTGGTATTAGGTTCTAATCTTTATGGATAATGCATGATTTGATGGATTTAATTAGCATAGGGTACATCTACTTACTCTTGTTCTTATCTTTCTGAATGAAGCATAATGGTTGGGGTTCTCCTCAGATATATAACACAGCTCTTAATCAGCAGAAAGGTTTATTGTGAAGTAATGCTAGTTCCTCTCTTTTCTCTCTCTGAAGAGGCCAAACAGGTTTCCACAATACAGTAATTCCTCATTTAACACAGTAGATACGTTTCAGAAAATGATCGTGCTAAGCGAAAACGTGTTATGCAGGGTCAATTTTCCCATTGAAAACAATGAAAAAGGTGGGGGTTGCGTTTCAGGCGGTGGTGTCGAAGTCAATTTTCTGTTGGTGCTGAGTCGTCTCTAGCCTACACTTGTTAGCAGGTGGCCGCTGAACACAGGCAGCTGCCTTAGGACCGGGACATAAGGTTGGGGGAGAAAGGAGACTGGGTTACAGCAGGGAGGGGAGGTGTTTTGCTCTGGGGAAGGGAAGGAGAGGAGAGGGTAGGGGGATTGGGTTGGGAGTATGCCCATGTCCCTGGATGCCTCACCCCCTGAGGGTAGGCCCTGCTTGCAGGCTGGTGGCCGTTCCCCGCCGACACCCCCTCCCCTTCGCCTGATGCAATGCGGGTTCTGGCAGACCTGTCACAGGGGCATACTCCCAACCCAATCCCCCTACCCTCTCCTCTCCTTCCCTTCCCCAGAGCAAAACACCTCCCCTCCCTGCTGTAACCCAGTCCCCTTTCTCCCCCAACATTGTGTCCCAGTCCCAAGGCGGCTGGCTGCTAGCAAGTGCAGGCTGGAGCTGCAAGAGCACATGCGGCTCACAGCAGCCCGGCCGAGAGAGCGGCTGACCGGAGCACTTCTGTGTTATTTCAGGGATGGTCGTGTTATTCAAAAAATGTTCCCTAACAAAAAAAAAATTGTGCTATTGCGAAAATGTGTTAAGTGGGCTCTTTTTAAATGAGTAATTACTGTACTCCCATCCTTTTCTGTCTTAAGAAACAAACTGTGAAAATCTAAGTTTAGTTGTCGAGGAGGGCATGATACAACAACAACCTTTAGAGTAATTTTCACAAAGAAAATAGTAGAGTTTAATTATCTACCTTTTGTCTCCAATACCATTTTAGTAGTGAGAGGAGATGGCAATGAATGTCCAGAGGAATCAGAGGAACAGACGTTTATTTTAACACTGGTGGAAATTCCAGCAGACTCAAGAGAGTACCAGGATGCATCTATGTCACTAGAACAAGCTTTGGAGCCATTGCTGCCAGCCCCGATACTTCTCACTCCAGTGAATACAAGCTTAGCTAATATGATGGGGGAAGAGAGGTAAATGATTACTCTACTACAAGATAAATTTGCATTTATTTCAGAGCCTCTCAAGCTAACTTATTGGAGCCTGTAAAATTAACTACAGCTGGTCCCTGAGTTACGAATGCGTTATGGACCAAACGCTTGGCTGTAACTCGGAATGGTCGTAACTTGGAACCCATTGAGTTACATTGCGACTGTGCTGTTCGTAAGCCCGGGTCGCGTTTGTAACTCAGAGCCTGCATTTACTACCGCTTTGGTCATAAGTGCGCATGGTTGTAAGTTGAGGAGGCTGTAAGTTAGGGACGGGCTGTACATTGGAACTCACTAAAGGAAAAATGCAGGAGGAACTATTACCTGGCTCACAAGACTTACTAAAATAAGTGATAGGTGATTGTTCTCAGTTCTGTCAGCAATAAATCAATTATGTAAATCTATTTTAATTAAATATTTTGGTCATGTGCCAACAGCACCATACTTAGTTTCATTAGAATTTTTCTAGTAAAGTCAAATTCTATATTGACTTGAACATTTATGGTGAAAAATAATGCAAATTATAAATCTGAGCTCATTTATATTTTCTAAAATACTATGAATTCCATAGTTAAATCACTTTTTCCAGATTCTTAAGGATTCACCTTTGTGAGAACACTTGTAAAAATAACATAAGAAATCTTTTGTTTAATTTTTTTAATTCTGTTGATTGATAATATTTTCCTTGAATAAAGACAAACAGAAGCATTTAACTGGTGTCAAACTAAGCTTACAGCAGTACATGAAAACAACAAAGAGTTTAGGAGTATGCCTGTAAAAATGATCTAATATGACTGTGAATATTTTCACATCACAGTTGTTGAAATAGGTCTCATTGCCATTAAATATTGCAACAAGATCTACACATAGTAAGTTACAGCAATATACTTGTAAGTTAAGAGGGAAATCTTCCTAAGAATAACATAGTAATACACTTTGGCAGCTTTTGACATGCTTCCTTCATGTATAGTTCTCTTCCCGTGTCACAGCATGTATGAAACAGAGCTCTTAGGCACTCAGTTGGTATTGTAAGCTCAGCTGTTAAGACTGCTCCTCATTCTGATGAAGATCTTCCCTTTGATGTAGGAGCTCCACAGCTGAGGCTCCTTCTTGAGAGAGTTTTTGCCTGTTGGCCCCTTGGTGATGACAGGCAAAATTACTGAGGGCAGTAATGGAATATGTGTCTCAAGTGTCTCTCCCCACCCCCCACTCTCCTTCTGTGGCAGGCCAGTTTTGTCCTGGTTGTTCCACAGGACTATCGTCCTTCCCTAATGGTGGCAGTGGAAATCTAGTAGAGATTAGGCTGCAAGTATAAATACCCTGAGCATCTAGAAAACTATAGTAATTGCAGTAAGATGCAGCTAATATTAATGCACAATTGATTTATATTCTCATGGAAGTAGAGTTAAATTATATTTGACAATTGCAAACATGATTATCGTAGATAAAAGATATAGCTATAATTGACAGGAAGAATGCCATTCTCCTTGGTGGTCACAGATATTACAGCAAAATGCAGATCTCAAAATATTTTTTTTGTTAGAAACTTAATTGCCCTGTTCTGCAACTCACTGTAGCAAAAACATCTAGTATGTGATATCACACACAAAAGTCACATACTAATTCATACATGTGTTCATATATTAAGGAAAGTATGCTATTGGACTGAGATGAAAATGTACAGTTCAAGCAGAAACAAAATGTTAAAAATAAAAACAAGACCTTTAAAAAGACTGATAGAAGGTGTCATGAGAGTGCCTAATTTCTGGTGGTTTAAAAGAAACCCAAAGCTTCTATGGCTAATCATCTAAATGATAAAAGGGGTTTGAAATGATACTACTTATAGATAAGAATATAAGCAAAGATTTGTGTCTTAATCAGCTTGTAACTTTGCTGTATAAACTGCACATTTTTTTTTTTTATTTTGTTAAGATATTAGTAACTTTTCACAATGGTAACTTTGACATGTATTATAAATACAGCATTGGATCATTAACAGCTACAGATGATAAAGCTGCTACATCTTTAGACAACTATACAGGAACAGAAGGATTGCAGAGAGCATCAATAGAGTCATTTGCTAATTTGGGTCAGACATCCTTGAAAAGGCATGCTGTTGATCTTGAAGAAAGTGACACTCCTCCTGCTAAGCAGACTCCATCTACCTCAACAGAGGATAATCTGGCCAATACTTACAAGGTCAGATACTAATTCATAGTACGCATAAAAAGGTATTTCCTGAGAGGTATGCATTTGTACTGCTTGTCTTCAAAATAATGAATATATTAACTAGGTAAATTACCTACTTGAAATTTTGCCAAGAAGCAAAATGAAAGCTGTAAGTTGCTTTTTGTTTCAAACAGTAGGAATGATAAATACTCTAGGCTCTAGTTTTTGTATTCATTTGGGGCATGTCTTCACTACGGAGAAGATCGACCCTCTGGAGGTTGATCTTCTAGCATTCTGTTTAGCAGGTCTAGTGGCAGCCCCCATTGGCGTTCTATACTCCTCATTGTGTGAGGTGTAAGGGAAGCTGACGGGAGTGATGCTCCCATAGGCCTCTCTCAGTGTAGATGCTTCAGCAGCTCAGCTTAAGGTCAGATGAATCCAGCTATTCATTTTGCATAGCTAGATGGCGTATCTTAAGCCGACCTGCCTGGTCTAGTGTAGACTAAGCCTTTGAATATACTCATGGGCTCTGTTTTCCATAGTACTTTCTATGTGACGTACTTTGTGTTCCTACTAATTGTTTCTGTGGGTTTACCCACTTTCAGGTTTTGTTTTTCTTATTTTGGTGGTGTGCTTGCAGCAGGAGAAGTTTCAGGTATATACTGGTCATTTAGCTGCTTTGTTTCAGGGAAAGGAGCTTCATGATTCTTGGGAAAAAATCATTACAGGAAAAAGCTATGTGGCTAAGAATGTCCCCAGCCGTCTTTACTAGGGGAGCTGGACAAATTTCCTATCCTGTGCGGTAACCAAATTATTGGGAGTAACTTACATGTATTTTTGCTGTTAAGTACAGTATTTTTGGAGGTGTGGAAAACTCTACACTAAGATTTCAATGGCTCTAGTGGGAACTTTGAAAATTCCCCCTGCACCTTCCTTGCTCTTATATTTTCTGAACTGGAGGCCCTTGTCATGACTACTCTGATAATTCCCCAAAAGCCTGCTTTTCAATAACACTAGAGTTCACAAGTGACATGAGGTCCCATCATGTTCTTGAGAGTTAAAGATGTTTTTCTTCCTATTGTTTGTCCTCAGCTGTAAATGTACAATATTTTTATTTCTTACTAGCTTTCATAGTGCACCTTCTTTGAAAAGAGAAATTGACTTTTAAATGTTTTTAATACAGGACTCTTCACTTAAATCAACAAATGCTCCAAGGAAAATTGCTGGTAGGTGAATCATTGAGATCTAATGCATATGAAGTATCTTGTAAATGGTAGTTAAAATTGACATTTTGCAAGCTAATTCTACCTGTGGCCATTTACTCATTAAGGGGAAAATATCTACCATTCACTCAAGTTTCAAATACCTGCATTGGGATTAGGCGTCTGGCAAAATTTTATATATTCATGTTGTTATTCCACTGGTTACAAAAATAGTACTATAGTTGGAGCTTTAAATAAAGGTAGCTCTTAAAGTTTATCTTAATTTGCTCATTAATGATATTGGGTTTTAAAAAAGCCTAAAAATTAACCAGCAAAAATGCCTCAGACATATATAGAAGAAAATTCTATATTCAGTATACTCGTTAGGAACTTGTATATACAGTAGGGGTGGGGAACCCAAGGCCCAGGATCCAGATTTAGTCCCCGGCTTGCCTGGATCTGGCCCTCCTCCCCATAGCAATGGAGAGCCCATGCTGGCACTCCAGTCCCTGCTGCCTCCTGCCTGCCTGATTTTTCTGTGGGTCAGCAGTCCCCAATCCATAAAAGGTTCTGCACACCAATATAAAGGCCAACAGAAAGCTCTCAAATACAGAGCAAAGGAGAATGATTTAATTAGCTGACAAGGTTAGGAATTTCATTTAGTACTTGTCAAAAGAACATACCTCTTAACAAGACAGCACCAACAGACATATACATACTAAATTACTGTCAACTGGAGGAAGAGTTGTTACATCATTACTTAAATACTGGAACAAAACTGTTCAGTTAACTTAAACAAGAGAGATCAGAAAACTAAGCTCTTAAATTGGCAAATATTTTTTTGCTACACTTTGGACCTCTCTGGTCCCGCACCTCGGTACCTGACTGGTCCTGAAGGAGGCAGTTAGCCAGACCAGGGGAGGTCGGCCCCTCTGCTGATGGACTCCGGGCTCTTCTGGGACCTGTCTGCAGGTCATCAGGCTCCCCTGCCCCTGGGCCACTAGGGTCCCGTGGCTCAGCAGTCCAGAAATATCCATGGCCCAGTTGGAGCAGAGAGTCTAGGACCAGAGATGGTCAACCTGTGCTAAATTTGCTGTTTTCTGTTTGGCAAATGTTTCCTCATGTTTGGAATGGAACAATGAACTGTAGTATGCCAAACTGTCTTTGTGCATTTGTAATTCTAACCAGATCAGGATAGGCCCTGTCTTAGCTGTTATGATATCCCAGCAGATAGAACACAATGTTTTTATGTGGGACCTCATAAATATAGTGGAGATGCCCTATTTTTAGTATCGCTGTAACCAAATAAAGAATCAGAATCATACCGGGTTTGATCTAACATTTGGATCTAAAAATATTTAAAAATCAATGGGAAGACTTTCAATGGCTTCAGTGGTTCTGAATTGGGTCTATAGTTTGCATGCACAAAAGGCATTCTGTCAGAAATTATAGTCCTTCTCTACACAACTTAACAACTGTGATTTTATTTTTCGTTACTGGTTTGGTTACAGTAACCTCATTACTGGAAATATGTGAATATATTAGAGGGGTTTCCAAGAAGAACAACTGAAAAAAAGAACAGGAGACTAGAGGGACTGATGTCTGAGGAAGATTTTTAAAGCCTTTTCTTAGTTAAAAGGCTTAACTGAAAGAAGGATTAGCCTACAAATATTTGAAAGATGGAAACAATAAAGACATAATATTTGAGCTAATGCGAAGAGAAGGGATGTAATTGTAAAAACAGTGGGATGAAATTAAGGGGAAATTGTAGATTGAATTGTAGATTGTGAGATTTGTTTAGCACTTTAAACTTGTATAGGGGATTTCAGAGTACTACTTTAAAGTTTTGCAGTAATCTCCCAAAAGAAATTTTGAAAGCCTATATCTTGGAAAAATTCAAGATGACTGAGGCAAGCCCTAGAAAGTATAATAGGGAGCATTCTGCCCTGGCTGATACAGATTGCATGACCTAATTTATCTTTTCCAATTCTAATTATCTGTGTGAAGGTAAGGTTTTCAGGCTCAAAATATGATCTATTTCTAAAAGAAAATTTGAATGTGACGGGATCCCCCTGGGATGCATTCAGGGGGATCTGTGTCCCCTTAAATCTCTCCAGCCTGGGTTGTGTGTCTCATACATTTCCCATTTATGCGTAATATTAATTTTTTCACTTAAAGGGAAAACTTCTGGAAAACTGAAAACTTCAAAGAAGAAAAAAAGACCTACCTCTACAGTTGTGTCTAAAACTTCAGAAAGAGGGCAATCTGAATCCTTTCAGAATTTAGGAACTGTACTGCTTGAAGAGTCAGCATGCAAGTGTTCTGATGAGTTGGTGTCAGGAAAGGAACAGGAGGGAAAAGAAAAAGAAACTGAGCAAGAAAGCTCTCTGGATATTTGTGCATCTGGACATTTGGGACACGTTGAAAGCCCAGCTGCCTCTTCAGGAACCCAGATGCCAAGGTACTTCTGAAGCACTTGTTCTCATCTTTTCATACTGCAGACCCCCTTCTTATCAGGACTTGCATATGGTAGTCCTTCTACTTAACATCGTGGGAAGGGCAAGGTAGTTGTGATTCCAGGTTTAAAAACCCTTATACTAGAACATTGTCCGTACTTTTCCTCAGCAAAAAACTAGAAAGGCTAGATGGATCACTTGTAAGTATTCTTAGGGTGATTAGAGGTCTCATTTTGAAGCCCTCTTGGAGGTGTCCTGACTTCTTAAAAATAAGCAAATTGTCCTACATTTTCTATCCCTCTCTCCATGCCCCCCATCAGTAGAGACAGGTCCAGCTGTTAGCTGGATCCTGGCTTGCCAGCTGCCTGCTCACCAGCAGTGAGTGAGGGAGGTTCAGTGGCCAGTAATGAAGGTGGGTGTACAAGGCTGGTGGTGGGGTAAAGTTGCAGTGTGCAGAGCTGGCTGCTCCTGTCATGATTATGAGGGTTAGCCAGCAGCCTGGGGATTAAGGGGTTAACTACACCTAGCCAGGTGGAGTGACCAGTAGGAATGTAGTTGGGACTTTCAAACTGGGACAAAGGAATTTGGGTTTTTTCCTTTGTTTTGGCCTGTGCTTCTACTTCCATTCACCTTGTCTCCGCTTTTATTGCTGCTAGCTTCTCCAGATGTTCTGGTTGGGCATGCTTCTCCTCGGCCTCTTGTGCTAGCCTTGCCTGGTGTTCTTGTTCCTCACACTCAGTTTGTGCTCACCTCTTCTCTATCCGTAGGATAAGCTCAACCTCTTTCTGAGTTAGAGATCTGCCAACTGCCTTACAGGCAGCTTCCCATAGAGAAGGCAGAGGTGAGGGAGGAGCAGCGCGCTAGCAACCGTTTTGTCTCAGCGGGCATTAGAGGTATTAATTTGACCTCTTGGCATGTCCTAACCAATTTCCATTCCATATTTATATTCAGAATATATCTGTCATTATGCCAAATATTTCAATCACAACAATAGAACTTGTTCTCTTTCAAAAATGGAAACCTTTAAAGACCTTGATTGTCAACTTGAGAGCCAAACCACAATTAGGTGGTAAGGTTACCATTGGCTCAGTAAAATCACTATTTATCCATGTAATGGCTCCTTCCCCACTCTAGCATGATAAATGCAGAAGTGGGGGCCAGCAAGTATACTCCAAAGCCTTATCTACCAGGCTTTGGTATAAAACTTCCCCCCAAATCTTAAAAACCTAGATCTTGGGAATAAACTTCTGCAGCCACCACCCAAATATTGATAAAGAAATCAGGGGAAAGATCATTTGGGAAATCTCACCCCTATTATAAAAATCAGGACACACAAGTAACCAATACCAGGTTAATAAAAAGAAAAGAGAAGACTTTTATTATTACAACAATATTCCTGTTGCAGGCATAATGACTAGATGGGAAGGTAACAAAATATACTCATGGAGAAACTCTATGGGCCTAGAACTTAGTTACAAAGAAAAGCCAAAACATCTTTTAAGCAGTGCCAGACATCAGATCCCATACTCAACTCTTAAAACATTAAAGCCTAACGAAACTACCTAAACTTTACCCTATTTACAGAAAATGAAGAATGGTGTCTTGGAGAGAGAGAGACATGCTTGTCCCTCTCTGTAGCTGTAGAGAACACACCCAGAGAGACAAAAGGGAGAAAGGAAAAAACCCAAATTCCTTTGTCCCAGTTTGAAAGTCCCACCTACATTGCTACTGGTCACTCCACCTGGCTAGGTGTAGTTAACCCCTTAATCCCCAGGCTGCTGGCTAACCCTCATAATCATGACAGCTCCTCTTACTGGTCTGGCAGCATCACTCCCTCTGTGTGCTTACTTTGACAGTGGGGCCCCACCTCCTACTTCCCATCCCATTTGTGACCAGCACTGGCCGTGCAATCCGAGCTGTAATGGCTGCTGAGAGTGGGCAGGTGCCAGGAGGCAGCCAGTTACATGTTGCCTCTGTTGCCCTTTATATGCTCCTCCTTTCACTGTCCCCTTTGCTTTGCCCCTTCGCATACATGCACACAGACACACCCCAGCCCTGCCAGTTCTCCATGTTACCCCTAGCAGAGTGTGTCCCACTCCATGCTGTGCAGAAAACCAGCTCCTGGTTAGAGTGCTTTGCTTACCAACAGCCTGGATAGCAGGCTTCTTCCTTTCTTCCCCACTGCCTCTGGCTGGCTAGTACCCCACCAAGAAAAGCTCAAAACCCAGGGCACTGGCCAGAAGGAGCCAAGCCTTGCATGTGCTAAAGCCCTGCATAACACTGACACAAGGATACTCCTTCACCCCTCAACTAAGCTCAGAATGGTGCGAGAATCGATTTCCAGTCTCTTTGCATCCTGACAGTGCCACAGCAGCCCCCTTAGCACCATCTTCTCCTGCTCCAAGGCAATGCAGAGTTGCCCCATACTTTAGGCACCCTTCCCTAGCTGCCCAGGTTCAATTAAGCCCTTGCAGTCAGGTTCCTCTGGTTCTGGTACACAACATAATGAATCCTTAGAGCTTAATGCTTGCCTGCCTGTGCTGTAGCTGGCAGACAGGAAGTAGGTGGGTTATGTCACTGCCCAGCAGCAGCCTGGAGCTATTAGCTGCCTTTTGGCACTGTGCAGGCAGGAAGGGACAAGCTGCCTCCAACCATGGGAACAGAGGGCAGGGGGAGAGAGGGAGAAGAGATGAACTCTGCAAAGACATGAGCCAGGTCATCCCTTCCTTCTCTTCCCTTCCTCCCATGGCTGGAAGAAGCTCCAGTACCTTTCCTCTTGCACAATGATGAAAGGCTGCTGCTGGCCACATTCTGGTGTGAACCCTAGCAGAAATCTAGAGAGGGAGCATATGACCCTGTAAACACCCCCCCCTCCCTACTGTTGCCTTGGGGAGAAACAGTAATAGGTAACAGGAGAAGCGGGCCCATCCCGGGAGCCAGGCATGGAACGCAGAGAGCACCAGGCAAGGAGGGTCAACTTAGCTGGTCACCCTCCCTGTATGAGAGAGGGATATGAGTGTGTGAGTGTGTCACCCCTTCCACATGTGAATCCTAAAGCCTTACAGATAAGGTAAATGAAATACTGTGTAGTTGGATTTTTTTTTTAATGGGTGCAGTCAACCTGATGTTAATTTGAGGAGTTTTACTGCATAGCTTTGACTGATTAGTGCTGAACTCACTTGAATGGGAGTAATTTTACCACGTCCTGTATTTAGTATAGGGAAATATAGTCCCTCTACACTATTACCACTCAATGACTAGAATATGTAATCAGTGATGATCCATTCTGTTTCATGCTTTTTCTGGTAGTATGCCTCAGTGAACAGATATTTGAATCCCTTGTCTACTAAGTATTTGGCTTCTTACACAGTGGCTTTTTTTGTGATGTAGACTCCCCAAGTCTCCAAATGCTAGTGAACAACTAGATTAGTAACTTTTTTTATAAACATTTATTTTAAATACCCCCTTCCTGTGTTGTTATATACAGTATAAATGTACCTGCTTTGTTAATTTTTTTTTCAGTTAAGTGTTCGTGTACTCAGTCTTTAGAGCTATGTTAAGACATAACACTGCCCTATAGAGTTTACAGTCTAGACAACAAACAGAAGATGCAGCATTACTTTTTTTTATTGCTTCATATGTTCCTTTTTATATCTTTTGATTTACCTTTCCCCTTATGTTTAGTTCTGTTCCTCTAACTATCACTTATTTACTCATCATTTTATTCTACCTACAGTCATCTGTTTTTGTAATCCTCTGTTTTTTCTTGTCCTAGTACCTTTTACTGTTACCTATTGACCCATGATTTCGCCTCTCATATCATCATTGTTGTGAGCAGAGTTTAGTTGTTGCTTATTTGTATTCTAGTGTCAGTCACAGATGTAAGTGATATTCATGCATAATCTTCAGAGATTAGTCTAAAAAATGTTTCTGGGCTTTTGCCCCAGATTTTTTTGTTTCCGAATTAACATGAACAGTTCACTGTGACTGGTTATCCTGATGTTGATAGAGTGAAGATCTGGTGCAGGTCCTGTTGCAAGGAGTGCCTTCCTTCTGAATTCTGGGACTCTTTCTAGGTGCCCTTGGGAGAGGAGGATTCCACCCTCACGTGATGCATTAGTGGAGGCCTGTGAAAAGGAGTTTCCTGTTCTTGTGGCAAGAAGCTGTCCGATCTCCTTTGCAGCTGTTTCTTTTGCCAGGGGATCTGAGAGCTTACATTGCCATTCTTGAATATGAGAGACGGGCTCCAGCTTTCATGTTGTGCTGGCATGGAGGCTGTTGAAGACTTTTAGGGTATGTCTACACTATCACCCCAGTTCGAAGTAGGGTGGTTAATGTAGGCAACCGAAATTGCAAATGAAGCCCGGGATTTGAATTTCCCGGGCTTCATTTGCATCTTGCCAGACGCCGCCATTTTTAAAGCCCCGCTAGTTTGGACTCCGTGCCCGCGGCTACACGCGGCATGTAGTAGGTAGTTAGGATTAGGCTTCTGTGCTATTTAAGTCATCTGGTAAATTTGTGGTATTTTCCAATTCAGAAAATAAAAAAACAAAACAAAAAAAAGATGCAAACAAAACAGTTCCTGATTTGATTAACTTGTTCCAAATGCTTTATTTTAGAATGTTTATTCATACTCCTATAATTCAGAAATGTTTGCTATTAGATTGTAAGTCATACTCTCATTAAATAGAAACAGGAGTTCTACTCCTTTTTCATTAAGCAAGCTGCTAGTATTATATAAATCTTGAAGCTCTGTTAATTTTTGTTTTGAATAGGGCTGGCCGAAGACCTCTGGGGTTTTTATCTTTAATTTGTAAATCAAGTAATGCTGAACCTGGAGAGGATGCTAAAGGGAATAGACAGAGACTCCGAAAACCTCTCATAGCTGCCTCAAGTCGAAGTCTGAAAAAAACAACTCCATCTACTGAGAACACTACAGACACTCAGGAGTCCTGTTCCTTTCCCTCTACGAGCTTGCCATCCTCTGCTGAATGTGAGAATATAGGCAGTGCTGCAGTTCAGGTACATATGGTTACCTATGAACATCGTGTCTGTATGAAATATAAAGCACTAATAGGGGACAACCATTTGTGTGTGTGAAGTGTTCACTGTGACTTTTCTTGTAGAATTGTGGACTTCCTTTGCTTATCTGTACGTCAAAAAATTGAACAAAATTACTATGGTGAATGATAGGATCAAACAAACCACAATTATATGCCATTATTTTATATGTTGGAATCTACTAGAGCAGTGATTCTCAAGCTAGGGACATCCAGATGGTCTGCAAGTTATGTCTGGGACTGATCAATTCTCCTTCCCTCCTACTGCTTCCTGAGTGCTGCAGAACAGCCGTTCAGTGGCATGGAGGAAGCACTGGGAGGGAGAAGGGAGGAGCAGGAGTGAGAAGAGATGGAGTGGAAGTGGTGCCTTGGAAGAGGGAGTGGAGTGGGAACAGGTCCTGGGACTGAACAGGGGTTGAGCACCCCGAAGGAAAATTAGGAGCTGGCTAGGGGGTCCACGAAAACATTTAAATCAAAATGGGGATCCCTAGGTTGCTAAAGTTTGTGAACTGCTGTCTTAGAGCAAAGTTCCGATAACAAAAGTCATCTTAAATTTTGACATTTTTCTCCCAGTTTTAGCCTTCACTTCTATCTTAAATCAGGAATTCGAGGTCACTGTTTTGAGCACATAAGGTGGAGAGCAGACCCAGGGAACTGATCACATCTGTCTCTGAAAATTCCCCATTTGCTCTTTACCTAAAGGAGACAGGTGTTTGGTTTCATGTTTCCTGGAAAGTGTAGTGGGAACCATAACTGAACAGTTAAAAATGCAGTTGCTTGATTTCATCCCATCTCATTTGTACTGTTTTTCCTCTCCTTAAGGAGGAAATTATGTTAGTTAATATTAAATCTCCCCAGTTCTCTTGTTCTGATCTCTGAAGGTCATTTTACATTTTCCTCATTAAGCAAACCTGAAACAGGACACTTATCCCAACATAATATTACCTTTATTTTTTTTTCCATACCTGTGTGAAATGAGTTTTGTTATATGCACCAAATTATTGAGGTAATATGCTGATCTGTACCACCAATAGAAACAAAAAGATATGTATATGTATTTTTTGTAAGTTACCATATGGATAATTTGTTCAGCAAGGACAGGCTAGACATTTTGGAAATAACTAGAATTAAGTTAAGCTTGAGAGAGAAATGAAAATTATTAAATGAACAGACTAGTCAAAAACTCAAATAATAGCACTTTGAAAGAATAATTGCAGGAAGTAACAATAATACAAGTATATGCTGGGAGGAAGTAAATGTGACTCTGTGTGTGACTGTGATTGAGACATGCATTGCCCCTTCAAATAAATTGATAGCCTGCCTGGCAGGACCTCCCCAGTGCAGCTGCAGTGCATGGGGAAGAAGTGTATGTGTATATACAGCATCATCTTGAGTTCTGGGAGAAGTGGAGCAGCTTCCTCCTGTTCTGAGTTATAGTCAGAGGACTAAAACTCAAAGTATCTGAAGTGTAGAGTCCTGGCTGACAGATCTGATGTGAAGCTGTGCGCTGATGGAGAAGTCAGGCCATTGCCCCAGTCCCAGACAACGTGGACCCACGGTGGGAGAACACGTCTCCCAGACTGCATTCCTTACTGAAAGGGGCCCCCCCTTTTTTTTCTTTTACAAAATACCCAGCCCTCACTCTCCACCAAAAGAGGATTTGTAGAGTTTTACGAAGCTGCAGATATCCACTTTATATCCACAGGTATCTGCAACAATGGATGCAAAATTTTGTATCTGTGTGGGGCTCTACAGCTCTATGGAGGTTACTGTCTTGCTATTGTTTACACGTCAGTTAAAGCACAGAATTTCAGATGATGGCAAAATGAAGCCCAATTGGTGGAGCCTCACTAAAATCCTGAGCGCTACTTTTTCTTTGCAGCCCTATGATTTGCTGCTATGTTGCCCTTTTGAGTAGATCAGTACATAGTTTCAGCAGTTTCCCTCTGTTCCCTGTCACACCTCTGACATCACTTGGCAAAGATGGGGTACATGGGCAGAGAGAGGGGCCTGACATCAGCATGCCCCCTTCCTCCCCTCCTTTGCAAAGCAATTAGGAGGCTCTGGGAACAGCTCCAAGTCCGAAGGCAGGAGCAGCACAGCAATAGGTGGAGGGACAGTTAACTTGTGCAGCACTTGATATCTTGCTGGGCAGCTGCCCAGCCACACAATTTAGAGGGAACTTAAGGATAATTGTTTGAAACCCCTATTTAATCCCTAATAAATTGTCCCCGAAAGGTTTTGGAGGGTCACCTTAATCAATTGTCTTGCCAACATTTCCCACTAACTTGAATGTCGTTTCTGACAAAACTGAGAGTAAAAAGGTCTCTAGGCTTTTATTTGAAAATGCTAAAGCCCTCAAAGTCCACACAGTTTTTATTACTTGACAATATGTTGAGCTTGTTACCAAGTGAACCATATCTGATTACATCTTGCTGCAGCAGCCTGACAACTATGTTTTGAAGGTTATACCATCTCACGTTTTGTATTTCAGAACATGTACTACTACTTGTCTGCCTCTGGCTTGTGTATGTCAATGAAATTTGCAAATCAGCCACATGGTCTTCTCCTGTACAAATGTTGCTTATGTTACAAATGTTAACCCCTGTTGCTTATGTATTATAATATTGCAGATCTCATTTCTGTTATTACCTTACCAGAAATAGCATGTGTGTCTAGGAGCTGTGAAAATTTGTACATCTGTCTCAGAAGTAGGAATGTTAAATATTGGTTAATTGAATAGTCGATTAACCTCAAGGATTTTTATCAGTTACTCGACTATTCTATAGTCCCTGGGGGTAGGACTGGCAGCCAGTGTGCTCTGGCTCAATTCCCAAGGAGCTCCCTGCCACTCCATGCTGTTGCCTCTGAGCAGCAGCAGCACACAGTTCCAGGTGGGAGCTGGTCTGCAAGGTGAACCAGTTTTAAAAACCAGCTCCCCTCTTGGACCAAGCTGCCTGTCATCCTGCGCTGCTGCCTCACATACAGAGTCAGCCACACAGGGTAACAGCAGCCCGTGTCGGGGGGGAGGGATGATCTGAGCTCCCAGACCCAGCATGAGCTGGAACTGAGCTGGGCTGTCTGCCCACCTGGCTTCTAATAGACTTTTAAACAAAGAGCCATTGTGGGGGTAGGTCCTGGATCTGGCACAAGTTGGGACTGAGCCAGGCTGCTGGCGAGTTGGCTAAAATTTAATAGCGGTGGAGGGGAGGAGGAAATGCACGTAGTCTATAGCATTAACTGATAAGCGTTTGCTTATTGGTTAATCAGTTAATTAACTACACTATTACATCCCTACTCCAGGAGCATGGATTCAAGAGTAGAATTCCATTACGTTGTAGATTTTTAAAGAATAAATATTACAGATAATAGCTTAATCAGATAAAATCAATCCATCCAACTGCATAAATGAATTGGAGATTTTGAGGATGATTGTACTACAGTTTTGCTTGGTTAATGTCAGATTATTTGCCAAAACAATTTTGATTGCGGAAATAATTATATTAACAGTTTGTACATAAGATGAGGCACAGATTCATGAGAGAGACAGCAAATCTCAGTACATGTTAAAACTTGTAAGTGCAGCCTTTTTTTTTTCCTTAGATTTCTTCTGAGTCTTCTGAGAAACAAGCTTCTTGTGCTAAAGGACAGGAGAAAGAAGAGGAGCCAACCAGAATCTCGGAATATTTTTTCAGTGATATCTTTATGGAGGTAGATGATTCAGAATAAAGCTCTAGATTCTAAGAATTCAGTGCAACAATGGAACTGTGTATAGATGGGTTGCTGTGAATTCTCCTTTTTCTTCCTTGGTCTTAATTTATTTCCAGACTCACTAATGGAGAATAACAAGCACTGTTGGAGAAGAAAATCATTTCCCCCCTCATTCTGGGTAATCTGAGCATTTTCAAACATGTCAGAACTAGATTGGCATGATGAGACTGAACAGCAGCTGTTGGTTTACATAACTTTTCTACAACCAGCTTAGGGACATGACTACCTTCAAGAAGTGCAATGAATAAATGACTATCCACATGCCAATATCCCTTCAAATCATAATGCTGAAGCTTTTGGGGCTCATTATTACAACTTATTTGCTATACTTCTTTTTGTGAAGTTCCACTGCAGGAAGGAGAATTAATCTTCATATTTATCTCTGTAGATAGATAATCAATTCGAAAAGATTAGTGTTGTAAATACATAGAGAAGTTTTCTATTGTTGGTTATTTTATAGACTTCTCCAAAGTATGTATATTTGTAATGACAAATTCACAGATACATAAGCTTAAGGTCATCATTGGAAAGCAGAATGTTTAATCCCTTTTAAATGTACAGAGATAAACATGAAAGACTATTTATTTAATTTTAATGTATTAAAAGATGCTATCCCATGTTAGTCCTTCATCTATCTGATTTGGGGGTAAGGAAAAGATGGACAGATGTCCAATTGTAAATGCGGATTTCTTTCTAAATTAAATATTTAATACAATAGACTGGATTCTGCTCATGCACTGTCTTTATATATTCATATAACTCCATTGATGTAATTTATACTAAGGAAATTCCAATTAAGAGTAAAGGTGAGCAGATTCGAACCTAGAACTATTGAATGAGGTAGTTTTGAGGATTTGCCACTTTTGAAACCTTTAACTCATAAAGGTTTTCCTCCTATTTCGTGTTTGTTTTTTGTCCCCCCAGTGCTGAAATTTAGTTTTAGGATGGTATTTGATTTGTCACATGAAGACTAACTTTCACTTATGTAATGAGAAAAAATTGCCATGAGGGGTTAACAGTCACATGGTCTCAATTCTTCAAAAATCAGGAATTATTCTAAAAGACAAATACATTTTCATTCTTAAATTCTTGACTTTTTGAAATAGTAAGTAGGTATTGAAAATTAGACTTAGGTAAAAATCTGCATTTTTTTCTTTGATTAAACATTCACCACTGGAAATCAAGGATGAAAAATAGACTTTCAGAAAATGGGATTTACACAATGTCCCATATGTCAAGATGAGTATGTCACAAATTTAGTTCCATATTAATTCTGAACAACCTCTTCAATGCAGTTATTTAACTCGAGCTTTATTTGCCACAGCTCAGTCAGTAATGCTTAGTGTATGTTTGTTTATAGGTAGAAGCACAACCTTAAGATAATTTGTATTTTAGTGCATGGATCTGGCTTCAACTAAAATGATTCTTAATGAGTTAAAACATTTTCTAAATTGAATATTCAAACTATTTTAAAGATTATTTTGCCACCCTCTGCAAAAAAAAAAAAAAAAAATCTGTAGAGGTGGTGGTGATTTACTAGCAAATCCATAATTATTTCCTAACTATAATTATCAGATTCCCCTTGAGTCACTAGCTGAGACTTGAATTTTTATCCTTTCAGAAGTTATTTTTTTGACTTAGTTTCTAAAAGAGCCCTCAAGACTTGAATAATAAGCAAAAATAGCCCAGCTGTTAGGAATCATTAAACTAGAAGCTCAGATAGCTTGTTTTGTAGCATCCAAATGTGAGAAGCAGTTAGTTTTAATGCTACAGTGGAAAGGGAAAACTGTCAAACAGAATATTTTCCTCTGTTTTTCAAGTAAATGACAATTGGAATTCAAAAAATGACTGTACAAATTGATCCAATCTCATGTCCAGTTTGAGATGAATGTCTCACGGTTTGACAATTTATTTTAATTTGAAATACCCATATTTGTGTTTTTTCTCCTTCTATGGTAAACATTGCAGTAATATAATAACACTGAATACATGTAGCTAAGGCTAATGTGCATATTGTAGAGTCTGGTTCTTGTATGCAAATATTTTGTTGTTACATTGGGCTTGTTGCATTTTAGAATTAGATAAAGCAGCTATATCACCCCCACTGATACATTCTCAAAATGATTTGTGGAGGAGGATGCTATAAAATAATGTATTCTAAGTACCTGCTAAAGCAGTACAGACTCATTCATAGTATGTCAGATGCAATTCAAATGACAAGTTAAAAATAATTTGTATGTCATAAATGATAATCAGAGACAGCAAAATGTATTGTGCCTTATTTATCCCTGTGAAATAGAAGGGACAACGGACTTTTTTTTTTTTTTTAAACAGCAAACCATGTGTGTTTTGTTACAAGTATCTTTTGAAGTGAATCACATTTCTGTAATGTGTGTTTTCCGTGCTGGAATGAAAGTTGTATAAGTCATAGCGATGGAAGGATACAGAACAGCACCCTATGTTAAGTTGCACTGATCAATGGCTTATCATTTCTATTAAGATGTGGCAAAGGACTGCTTTCCTTGACGTGTTCTTTCACTGACACTGTAGGAATATTGTTCACGTGTAAGCTTTTGGATTCAAAGAAACAGTCTGTTCTATATGTAAATTATGTGAATAAATACTTTTATATCACTTGTGTATCTGATCTCACTTGATCTAACTCAGCTTTTAAAAATAAACAAGTTTATAAAGAGCCAAAAAAAGACTTTTTTAAAGGTAATGAGTTGAATGGCTCAGGTTCTCAAAATAGTAAAAATGCTATGTTTTGCTCTCTGTTCTTTATTGCAACATTTTACTTACATTATTATTATGGTTGGTGAATAGATTTTGTCCCTTAATTGCCAAGTTTTTGCAACCTTCTTTTAATTGCCTTTTTTTTTTTATTTTGAAAACTTAAGCTGTGAATGGAAAAACTAAATTTAGAGCCTGTGATTAGCATGAAAAATGTTCTAATATTTTTCTTCATGTAAATACTCTAGACTGCCAGAACATCAAAAAATTAAAATTTGCTTTGTGAACCTCTGCTTCCAAAAAGGTATGCTTTTTGGTGGAGAAGGATTGAAAGTTTTTGAAAACCCTGGGCTGCATACTTATCTGCATGCTCTTTACTAACTTTTCATAAATTCCAAGTACATAAGGTCTCCCGGCCCTTCTAAAGTAGTTGTGGTTTTTTTTTGTTTTTTGTTTGGTCTGGGGAAGTCCATGCTATACATTTATAAACTGATTCTGTGTAATTCTACCTGAAAAAATTAATCATGCAAAAATATATTTTAGCACTGGACTATACTCCAGTAGTTCTGTAACAATGTTGCCTGGAGCATAATGATATTCAGAATAGGGAAAGGTAGATACTTTTGATCTTCTACAGATAAAATTATTTTAAAACAAGTCCTGCATGTGCGTGTAGCGGTATGTATATAAAATAGTTTTAAAAATACTTAAAACACACAAAGCCACTGAAAGGTTTCACCACTTCTTACCATATTCAATTACCACAGCTACAGCATTTATATTTAATGGATTGTCCTCTCAAAACTTATTATCTTATTTACCCCTGCAACCAGGTTTATAATGCTGCATTTTTAGAAGTTTTTTCTGCAGGAATAAACAATATCAAGGTATTTTCTCTCTTCAGGATGAAACTGGAAAAAACCTTATTTGAACACATCTTCATTAGTTAAAAGAAACACCAGAAAATACTGGTTGCCATTAGGGATTTTAGAAATCGTTAATTTTAGTAATTGTGTAGCTGCAACAATTCTTAGAGGTTGTATGGTTATTAAAATAAATCCTCCCTCCACCCCCAAACTCTGGAGCATCCAGTGCACTCCTGGGGAGCCTTGTGCCATCCTGTGCTGCTGCCTCTTATACAGTGTGGGGAAGCAGGCGGGACTCTGTCCGCAAGGGGAACTGGTTTAAAAATCAAGAGTTAGCAGCACAGCTCCCCTGCATGCTATTGCTTTAAAACTCAGACTGGTGGGGTGGTACTGAGCCAGCCTGCCGGTCTGAGTTTTAAATGCAGAGCACATATGGGGCTTGTGGGGAGAGGGAGTGTTGCAGTTAACTGGGACTGTTAATCGATAATTGATTTTATCAGTTAAACAGCCAACTAGCTGCTAACATCCCTAGTGGCCATATACATGTCCTTTACTGCAATGTGAAACTACCACTACAGGCACTACAGCACCAGAGTGGAAGACTATCTTAAAACAAGCAGATAAGACACTAGAGATCGAACTCCCCCCTCTCACACTTCTCCACTTGGCTATTAAAGCATCTCTCCACTACTTGGTGGCTTTTGAGAGCTGTGGTATAAGAGACTTCTCCTTCCCTATTCCTTTATAGGGAACCTTGACACCAAACAAGTTTTGTAAATTGCAATATGTTTGTCATTTTTTTTTGCCTAACTTTCTGGGGGTGAATGTGACAATGTCTACGTAGATCTATGAATGAAGCATTAAAACAATCTCTATAAGTAAAAGGGAAAGCCTACAACACTGAGCAGGAGCAACTGACCATTATCGCACCAATAAGGAACATAAGAATGGCCATACTGGGTCAGATGAAAGGTCCATCTAGCCCAGTATCCTGTCTGCCAACAGTGGCCAATACCAAATGCCCCAGAGGGAGGGATCACAACAGGCAATCCTCATGTGATCCCTCCCCTGTCTCCCACTTCTAGAGAAGCAGAGGCTAGGGACACCATTCTTACTCATCCTGGCTACTAGCCATTGATGGACCTAATCTCCATGAGTCTGCCTAGCTCTTTTTTGAACCCTATTAAAGTTCTAGTCTTTACCACATCCTCTGGCAAGGAGTTCCACAGGTTGACTTTGTGCTGAGTGAAGAAAAACTTCCTGTTTTTTGTTTTGTTTTTAAACCTGCTGCCTATTAATTTTATTTGGTGACCCCCTAGTTCTTTTATTGTGAGAATAACTAACTTTTCCTTATTCACTTTTTCCATACCAGTCATGATTTTATAGATCTCTAGCACATCCCCACTTAGAAAAGAGGAGACTAAGCTGAAAAGTCCAAGTCTTTTTAATCCAAGTTCTTCTTGAAGGAAAGAAACATTGCTTTAAGCAGTGAAAGCTTTAAATCCCGATCAGTTTGCAGTATTCTGTAGCTTAACACTTTGGTTACAAAAATAGACAAGCACTTGCTCATATTTGTCGAGGGGTTTATATCAGGTCTAAATTTTTCATTAAGGCTGGAAGCAAGGGGCCAACGTCCCATAATGCAACATTCTCCATTCCAAAATAACTTCTCACACCTAATTTTCACCACTTCTTTTGGCCTCAAGAAATGTGCACTACTTGTAGTGAGACTGCATCATAATGCAAGATTGGAATGATCAGCAGCAGGTTCCCCAAACTTTAGGAGCAGTAGACAATGCACATTTTGCCCCAGAGTACATCAAGACAAAGGTATACTTTTATGCAGTGCTTTTTTTGTTAAAAAAAAAAAGTGATGGTACTTCAGGGGAAAAGTTGTTGAGCTCTGACTGAAGGTGCTGGTACTGTGTACCAGGCAGTACTGTCTCAAAAAAAGCACCGCGTTTACGTGATTAAGCAGCCAATGATGGATCACCATGGATTTTAACTGCTGTCAACACTGGCAAATCAGAGAAGATTCATAATGGTCTCCTCAAGAACACAGAACTGTTCAGAAAACTTCAAGCAGGGTCATGCTGAAATGCCAGTAGCAATTGCAGGGGCCTCGGTCTACTCCTTAGTCCCCTGGCTCATGAAGCTATTCACCAGCCACCTTAAGGAAAGAATCGTTTACAGGCTTAACAGGTCCAGAATGATTGCTGAATGAGTTTGTGGTACACTGAAAGGGCAGTGTGTCATTTCCTCACCAGACCGGCTCACTGAAAAATATGCCAATGGCTATAGCTGACTGCTGTGTCCTGCATAACTGTGAAGCACAGGAGAAAAAATTCCTACATGGGTGCAGGGCAGAAGCTGAGCTGTGCCGGTAGTGGTAGGCTTGCGTCTAATCAGACAAATGGAGCAGATAGAAAGACGTCATTAATAACTGGCAGACACTGGATTTAGACTAGGCCAATAGACAGCGCACCTCTGCCCGGCCTGCAAGCGGCGCCGGTTGCAGCTCCATGGCCGCAGTTGGACTAGCCAAGTTGTCCAGCCTTCGGCCCCTTCCTTCCCCAGCGCTGTGAGGGGCAGAGCTGCACCCAGGCTACTGGCTCCCGCTCGTGGGGGGGGGGCGGGCT